CGCCTCGCCACCGCCTCCGAGACCCAGCTCGCCGAGCGGGCGCCGCCGCCGCCGCCGCCGTCCCCGCCGCTGTCGCCAGCTTCCGGCCGCGGCCCCTCCGCCGTCCAGGGCCCCTCCGTCTCGGCTCCGGGACCCCGGCTCCCCGCCAGCCCCGGCCCCGGCACCATGTCGGAGAAGAGCGTGGAAGCAGCGGCCGAGCTGAGCGCCAAGGTACGGACCAGGAGCGCGGCGGCGGCGCGATCCCCGGGCTCGGCGCGTCCCGGGTCCCCGACGGCCCCGCGCGGCCCTCGCGCCCCGGCCCCGGCGGACCCCGCTCCGCACCCCCGCCCCCCCCGCCCCGGCCGCCCGGTGCCGCCGACCCGCCGAGCGGCCTGCACCAGCGCCCTCTAGCTGCCCGCACTGGCCTCCGCCGCCCGCTGCCCGTCGGAGGAGGTCTCCCGCGCCGCCGCCCTCCGACCTCGGAAGCGGGCTTCGATCCTGGGTGTAAACAGGGCCCTCCCCTCGCGGTCCGGCGGCTCCTACTTCCCTCCCGGGACGCCTGCTCCCCGCGCTCCTCCAGTCTGTCCGTCTCCATCCATTCCCTCTCCACACCCCGCTTTCAGTTTTCTTTTTCTCCATCGCACACCCCCCCCCCCGCCAAGAATCTTGAGTTCCTAAAAATCAGAAGGGCCCTGGAAAAGGCCTTCGAGAAAGCCGAGGCCAGGCACTGCGTGGCCTGGCATCGAGGTGTCTGGCCGCCCCTCTCCAGCTCCTCTCCTCGGCTTCATCTCTTTGCCCTTGCCTCTCGAAGCCAGCCCTCCTGATTTCCCCGGGGAACCCACCGAGTGTCGCCTGGGGAAATTAATGCGGCCAGGGTTTGGGGGCTGGGAATCGGTCTTGGGGGTTGGCGAAGAGGTCTGCGAAGTGAAGGGGGGAGCCAGCTGCATCGGAGGCAGTGGGAGCGGGGATGCGTTGCCAGCTGACAAGGTGTGCCGTGCGGCCCTCGGTGAGGCCGTGCGGTGGCATGTGACTTCGCTGAGTAGGTGTCTTTGTATGTCTGAAATCCGGCGAGTGTGTGGGACTGCCCGTGGCAGCTACATGTGTGCATGTGGAGAGGAGATGTTCCGGAGCCATGTTGCTGCTTTGTGAGTGCCAAGCGGCTGGCTTTGCTGTGATCCTGTGCTGGCTCAAGAGAGCGCCAGGATCCCGAAACACCGCTCGTGTGGGTGCTCCCCTGCCTGTGTGAGTCACTGTTAGCCTGTGGGGGTGTGTGGGCCAGCGTGGAGGCCAGAGAGTTGCTGAGCACAAGACCGGGGGCCTGGTCACGAACCCCCTGCAAAGGGATCACAGAAGGACAGTGACCAGAAGGGCAGGACAGGGGAGGAGAAGCCCTGGCCCCTTGGACTTTGGGCTCTGGTGCTGGCCCTCCCTGCCTCCCTCCATCAGCCCAAATGGGAGCTTGGCCAGGGTCATACAGTCGGGGGCTGGACCCGAGAGAAGCCGACTTCGCCTGTGGCTCCCAGCCCAGGGTGCAGAGAGAAGCCCACCAGGTAGGAAAGTGCTGCACCTACCTGTGGCAAAGAAAGGAAGACAGCAAAATGGGGTGAAGGAGAAGCCTCGGCAGAGTGAGAGGGTCAGGTGTGCTCCTGGTGAAGTAAGAAGGGAGTTGAGTGCACCCCAGGCCACTTGGCACCCAGCCTTCTCCGGTGCCCATCCTGTGCAGAAAGCCACACCCTCAGGGATGAGCTACCCCACAGCAAACTTCTCCACATGGAGTGGGGTGTGCAGTCTGGACAGCAGCAGAGTAGGTCACACGGGACCCCAGGTGTCCTCAGTGCCCGCCGTGGGGCGGTGTCCAGAGGGGATGCCCGGGTGGTGTGAGGCTCCCCCTGCCAGACCAGAGCAGGACACCGAGTGTTTGTCTGTGGAGATCTTGGGGTGAGGGCTCTGGACAGCTGCCTCCTGGCCACTGCCCATCCCAGACACAGCCGCTGTGTGTTGCTCCCTCTTTGCCCACCTGGTCTGATATTCTCTCCCGTCTGTGCTGCTTCTACCCTGCTGGGCCTCCATTTCCACTGGAAATGACCGTTTCTCTTCCACTACACCACTGTGCACACTACGGAGGCTGGAGGAGGAAGCGACTGGAACTGTTGGGGCTAGAGGTGTTGCAAGTGCTGGAAATGTGCTAGGGTGCTCTCCCTATTCCTGAAGTGTTCACCCGGTAGGAACTTGAGGCTTAGGGAGACTGAAAGAGACTGGGAGAAACAAAGGCCTTAGAAGCTGAAGGGGAAGCTGGGAGGGTTGCCCAGGAGGGAGATGCTCAGGAAAAGGCCTGAGGTAGACAAAAGGCAGAGCGGGGCGGGCAGTGGGAGGGGGCAGGCAAAGGAGGCGGAGGGACACGGAGGGGTGGGGCATGAGGCTGCTGCAGATGGAGGGGATTTGCTTTACTGAGCTGAACTCTTTAGCTGGGCAGGTTTGGAAGAATTTGACAGGGTAGGAGTGAGTTGCTCTGGTTGCCGGCTCCCCTTCATTTTCCCCACACTCCTGGGTTGTTGGGAAGGTGTCTGGCGTCAAGCCCTCCATGGCCCTGATGTCAAGACCTGGGAGCTTTGCTCTTATCAGCTGTGACATGCTTCACTCACACCCCCCCAGACTTCCTGCAGAGAGGGAGAAACGGTGCCCTTCGGAAGGGATTCCAGGGCTGCCCAGCATTGTGGAGAGAGAAAGATGATTTCTTTCACCCTTGTAGGACCTGAAGGAGAAGAAGGAGAAGGTGGAGGAGAAGGCGAGCCGGAAAGAGCGAAAGAAAGAAGTGGTGGAGGTATGGAGGGGTTGGGAGATGACCTCACCTGTCCATCTTCCCTCCCACTGTCTCACCCTTCACTCCCTTCCTGGGGTGCTGGGTCCTGCCTTGCCCTCGGCCCCTGCCATCCTCACTGTCCCACCCTGAAGTCCCTCCCAAGTCTTTCAGCCACCCAGTGGGTGAGGGCGCACAGCCTGCCTGACACCACTCCCTTTCCTGGTCCCCATAGGAAGAGGAGAATGGAGCTGAGGAGGAAGAGGAAGAAACTGCTGAGGATGGAGAGGAGGAGGATGAAGGGGATGAAGAAGGTGGGGAGGGACAGGGAAGCTGGGCTGAAAAGTTGGGGCTCACAGGAGCAGTCAGGGTGGGTTTGCAGACCTGAACCAGGCCTGAGGGCGACCACAGGGGACTCTGCCAGGACTTCCTGCCCTTCCCCAATGACCCATTTCTGGCTCCTCAGATGAGGAAGAAGAAGAGGAGGATGACGAAGGGCCCGCACTGAAGAGAGCTGCCGAAGAGGAGGTTTGGGCTGGATTTTGGGCCCTGAGGGGCACCAGGGGTGCAGCAGGGCTGGGTGCCTGATGGATTTGGACCCAGAGCCATGTGGTGGCACGGGTGGGGGCTGGAGCAGGCTGGCTGGGGCAGGGGAAGGTCCCCTCTACTTTACAGCACCCAAACTCTCCTCCACAGGATGAAGCAGATCCAAAGCGGCAGAAGACAGAAAATGGGGCATCGGCATGAGGCCCCCATCAGGAGGCTGGGGCGGGAGGCCCCTGGGTCTGGAGGCAGGGGTGGGAACAGACCAGTACAGCCGCCCTTCACCTGGCTTCTGCCTCTGGGGCCTGCCCCACAGCTGCCACCCTCCTCCTTCTCCCCAGCCCTCCTTCCACCCTCCAGACACTGCCCCACCTCACTGCCATCCAGCCACCTCCTGAGCGCCCCAGCCTTCCTGTCGCCCCTCCACCTTCCTTGCTGTCTTCTCTGCCCCACTCCTCCCACATCCCTGTCCTGGGGTAGCCTCTCCCCTCTGCCCCCGAATCCCCAGCCTCACTTCCTGTTCATCCCTCTCCTGCCTGATCCCGGGTCTCCCTCAGATCCCTTCTCAGACAGCGCCAGGCCGGGGTAGGGCCGGGGTTGGGGCCAAGCCCCGAAGCTGCCCCCCTCCCCTCCCCTTTTTGTATAATTTAATAAAGAAATGGTCGCGCTTCTGTTTTTAACCTGTGTCCTGCTTTCCGGGAGTGCAAGGAAAGGCTAGAAAGGGAAGAGGGAGACTGACTTCACACCTGATGAGATCGAGGAGCTACAACCAGTGGTCCAGAGTTGGATTGGGAGCGGGAGAGCTGACCTGTTCTCTGTTTCAGGTTCTTGGGGATGCTCCTCCCCAGAAACACACTTCCCTGCTAACCCACACGAGATCTAGACACTGCTGAGCCCAGTGGAAAGCTACCAGCTCTATTGTGCTGAACGAGGCAAATAGAAACGGCCCTAGAAACAGGAAGTTCCGCCCCTGGAGTGGGAGCCACTGATAGCCCTGGGTCTCACTCTTGTAGGATCTGGCAGAAAGGCCTGGCCAGGAAGATGCCTTCTGCCTGACATTCAGGAAGCAAGCTCCTTCCAGCAGGGCTAGACCCTGGGCTTTCGTTTTTTTCTTTTTCTTTTTTTTTTGGTACCGGGGATCAAACTTGGGTCCTCATGCTTGCAAGGCAGGTGGCAGAACCACTGAGCTAAATCCCCAGCCCTGGGCTTTCTTGTTCCAGGCCTGTCTCCTTGTCACCTGCTCCCCAGCTCTCCCCGCTGGGCTTCTGGGCTGGGCTGGGCTGAATTAGAGCACAACAGCTAGCTTTCGGTCTCAGGCTTCCTTCTGCAGCCCGTTTTCCTTAGGTTTGGTTTGCTTCAAGGTTTCTGCATTTTTCCAAATCCATGTCCTCTTAGAACAGAACCTATAGATTGGAGGAAACTTTGTTTTTCTTTTTGGTACCGGGGATCTAACTCCAGACCTTGCGCTTTCAAGGTAGGCACCGGACCACTGAGCTAAATCCCTGGCCCTAGAGGAAACTTTGGAGAGGGGAGCCGGACTCATAGCCAATACCGTTAACCCACCAAAGACCCACGACTCACCCAGGGTCAGGACTGCCACACCAGTTTTTCTCTTCACACTCCCTATCCTTGGAAAACTAATCGCTCTGAGCCTCAGTTTCCCCACATGTAAATGGAGGGAAGCTTTAGATTTTACGAGTTACCACATGTAGTGTCCAACATGGTGGCTGGGGCAGATGCAGAAGGTAGCCTCCTGCCATGTAACTATTCTGCCCACTCCCCCTTGGCTGCCCTTGCCCAGGTCTGTTTTGTAGGGTACAGTGCAGTTCCTGCCACCTGATGCAGGAGCCACCCAGATGGCTGGGGTAGCAGGGTGAGGAAGTTCTGGGAGGTTAGGGGCCAGGGAGACAGGACAGGAAGGAGCCAGCTAAGAAAGGCTGCATGCTGGGACCAGTGAAGCAGCTTAGAAGTGGGCAAGAGGGGAACTGTGGTGGAAGTAGTTGGCAGAGAAGGACAGATGGGTGCCAGGAGAGGGAATGTGTGCAGCATGCAGGGGAGGGCGGAGGAGGGGCAGTGGGGAGACCCAGGGCTGAGGAAGTAAACAGGAGAGTGCCACCACAGGGGTGGAGGGTGCTGCTGCTGGGAATCGGCCCCCTCAGACTTTCCACTGCGAAGTGAAACTGTGAGCCCTGGGGCGTGGGGGGCGGGCAGCCTGGAGGGGAAGTGGGGAAGGTGAGGGAGACATAAGGACCGGGCCAGGTCCCTGGAGCAGCAGAACAGCACCCAGCTCCTGACAGCCACCTTCCTCCAGTCCACTCTGCCACACCCTGCCTGGTCCCCAGGGTGCCCCAGGCACTGCCCGGACTCGGGCCTCCATCCCTGGTCCTCCCACTCTCCCTCCAGGCCTGGGGGTGGGGTCCCCTGTCCTCTAGAGCCCTCTCTCCACTGCCCTCTGCAGCACTTTGCTTTAGTCCCCCTGTCCCCTGCTGACCTCCCTTAGGAGGGCTCAGCCTGGCCCGGGCCGCAGGGGAGATGGGGCAGACTCAGTTGCTGGGCTTGGTGCTTCTACAATTGCTGTGGGCTGCTCCAGGTAAGGTGCGGGTCGGGTAGGGCGCCCTCTCGACCCAGGGAGGGGTCAGGAGCCATCTCCATGGCGTCGAATCCCTGGGTCCTGGACTCCATGGAGTCAGGGCCAGCCTCTCCTCCCCCGCGCCCCTCCTCAGCCTCCCCCTGGTAGGGAAGGGACAACACCCTCTTTCCCTCCTGTTTCTCCCTTGGGAAGCCCTGAGGTCCTGAGGCCCTGTCTCTTGGCTCATGCGCCTCCCTTGGCCTCTCTTTTGCTCCCCCAGCAGAGGCTCCAGGGCCCGGGAAAGAGGTCCCAGTGGTGTGGGCTCAGGAGGGGACTTCTGCCCAACTCCCCTGCAGCCCCACAATCCCCCTCCAGGATCCAGGCCTTCTGCGAAGAGGAGGGGTCACTTGGCAGCATCAGCCAGACAGGTATGCGCCCCAGACCTGACAACAGATCCCCCAGTCCAGCATTAAGTACATCCGGACACAGCCCACTTCCGAGCCTGCATTGTCCCCTCCTCTGAGGGCCTGTCCCTCCGAAACCACTGACCCGTCCTCCCCTGCCTTTCCTCTGCAGCCTGCTCCCTCACACCTGCATCTGCTAGCAGGCACCCTCACCAGCAGTGCCTGGTGCCAGCCCAAAGGCAGAGGGCACAGGCTGGGGGCGGGATGACCTGTGGCCTAGGGGTGCCCCGGCGCTAAGGCGCACCCTTAGAGTGAGGCTGCGCTGCGTCTTCTCACCCCGGAGTTCTCAATTCCATCCTCTGCTCTCCAGTGGACCCGCTGCTCAGGCTCCCGCCCCCTCTCGGCCCTGGAACCTCGGCCCTGGCAGAGAAGTGGCGCCCGGCACGGGCCCGCAGCGCTACACAGTGCTGAGCGTGGCCCCCGGGGGCCTCCGCAGCGGGCGGCTCCCCCTGCAGCCCCGCGTGCAGCTGGACGAGCGCGGCCTCCAGCGCGGGGACTTCTCGCTGTGGCTACGCCCGGCCCTGCGCGCCGACGCCGGCGAGTATCACGCCGCCGTGCGCCTCCGGGACCGCGCGCTTGCCTGCCGGCTCCGTCTGCGCGTGGGCCAGGCCTCGAGTAGGTGGGCGGGACGGGAGCGCGGACGCGGACGGGATCGGGGGCTGGAAGGCGGGCCCCGCATTCCCACGGCACGGAGGCAGGAAGGGCTGCTGGGGACGCTGCCCCCTAGCCCTGCCCGAGGGCCCTCAGGCAGGGGTGGGAGAAGGTGCCCAGGAGCACGTGTGGGGGGAAGGCTGTGGAGCAGCTGTCACCCCCCCCCCCGCAGCGGGCGGGCCCGGGGGAGGGGGAGGGGCGTGGGGCTGGAGTGATTCACTGCAGGCGCTGGGGGAGGGTGGGGGTTCCTCCAGTGAGGTCTGGAGACGGAGGAGCCAGGTAAACCGGAGGCAGGGACGGAGGAAAGTAGGTAGGGACTCTTAGGGATCCACTTTAACAGCTCTGGCGCTGAGCTAGACTGGAGCAGGGAGGAGAAGGCCGGTGGCCTCCAGCTGGGTTGGGAGCTGTGCTGGGGTTGATGGAGACTTCCTTGTCCCTGCCCAGTGGCGGCCAGCCCTGCGGGACCTCTCAGGACCGCCGACTGGGTCATCCTGAACTGCTCCTTCAGCCGTCCTGACCGCCCGGCCTCTGTCCACTGGTTCCGGGGTCCAGGCCGCGTCCCAGTCCAGGAGTCCGCCCATCACCACTTAGCAGAAGGCTTCCTCTTCCTGCCCCAAGTCAGCCCCGTGGACTCTGGGATGTGGGGCTGTGTCCTCACCTACAGAGACGGCTTCGAAGCCCGGATCTCACACAACCTCACCGTCCGGGGTAGCTTCCCTCATCTGCCTTCACTTGACCACAGCCTCTTCCTGCCCCATCTCCTCCCTGACTCATGGGTCCCTGAACTAGGCTCTCTGCAGCTAGCACCCACCAGTGTCTGGCCCCTTCCTCCCCCTGCAGGAGGCTTTTAGGGCTGGCTCCTTTTGAGCTTTTCCCTTGGCCATCCTGCCTCACATGCCAGCCTTTGGTCTGCCGGCCTGGCCCACTCTGGGTTTCTGAGAGTCCTTGGTTCACTCACCTTATTCTGCTCCCCAGCACTCTTCAGAGCCCCCATCTCCCCCACTTTTCTGCCTCTCTACTCAGCTAGGGACAGGACCCTCACTCCCCGGGTTCCCCTTCCTCTGCAGGTCTGGAGCCCCTAGGCCCCCTGATGGTATATGCTGGAGCAGGCTCCAAGGCGGAGTTACCATGCCACCTGCCTCCTGGTGTGGCAACCCAGTCTTCCCTCGTCGCCAAGTGGGCCCCTCCTGGTGGGGGCCCTGACATCCCAGTGGCTGGAGACAATGGCAACTTCACTCTTCGACTGGAGGCTGTGAGCCTGGCGCAGGCTGGGACCTACACCTGCTGCATCCATCTGCAGGGGCAGCAGCTCTGTGCCACGGTCACCTTGGCAGTCATCACAGGTCAGCCCCAGGTGGGAAAGGAGGAGCTCCTGTCCTGGCGAGGCGAGGACAGGGAGGTAAGGCTGCTGGTGCAAGGCTGTGCAGATCCGCCCTGTGATGCCAGGCCACTGGGCACAAGTCGTGGCCTCTTTCTTCACCCCCGTGATAAAGAACTGAAACTGAAAATCTCCCCTGAGTCACAGAACAAGCGTTCCACTCTCCTTTAAGGGACTCCCCTGCTCTGAATTGGTGGGAGAGTCTGAGAAATTAGAAGGGGAGGTGGCAAAAATTTGAATGTTTCAAAGGAGGTGGAATAGGTTTCTAGAATCCTCTTCCATCTTGGGACCAGTGCTGGGGTTAAAGTTACAGGAAGTGGCCTGGATTTGGAAGGAGTTAACAAATCGATCTCTTGGATAGCAAATATTTACTGAGCAAGAGTTTTCCAAGACAATAGAAAACAGACACAGAAAAACTTAAAGTGTGTGTTCATTGATTGGTGATTATCAGCCGGGACAGGTTAGCTACGCCTCGGGTTCACCTGAGGCCACTGAACAGGAGCATCACATAGTAGGTGCCTAATAGGTACCTTGGCTGCATGAATGAATGAGTAAGCTAACAAATACCGCAGGTCCTGAGTGCCATCCTGACTTTCTGCCTGCTTTCTGAATATCTCTCCCTAGCTATGACACCACCCTTAGGCACACCTGGGCCTACCTTTTCTTTATGCCAGTCCCCTGGCTGATTTAGCCTGTTATTTACTCACTGGAATCCCAACTCCCCAGAGCTTGGCCTCCTCTTTTCCAGAATCAATTCGGTCACCAAAGCCCACTCATTCTGTCTAGTGTCTTCTTAATCAGTGGGAGACATAATTACCCCCACTTTACAAAAAAGAACATTCTCAAAGTTACACAGCAGAAAGTGCCAGGCTCAGGCATCTGTGTCACCAAACCTTCCCTCTCCAATTCAAGGCCAAGGCCTTTCATCGCTAGTCTCCTCCTGTCCCCCTACCTGCCACTAAACACTTGGAGAATGCTGTTGCTGGGTCAGTGGGTGGGTTCACCATTCTCTGAATATTCAGAAAGGGAGGTGAAATGCATCCAGGGTCACCACAAGGCAGGGGGCACTGATGTGAGGCAGATCACCGAAGGAGGAAAACTGCAAAGCATGTCAGGGGCCAGCTCATCTAACTGGTACTGAGGGTCTGAGAATTTCAGGAGAAAGTAATGTAAAAGAATCTGCAATAATATTTCTTCTGTGGCCTTCAGGGCCAGTTTGAGTTTGAACAATGCGTTGAAAGCGGTGGGCAGCCTGGAATGTTTTGGAGCAGGTGAGCAACCTGACCAGAGCACTGTCGTGTTAAGATTAATTTTGGCCCAGCATGCTGATGCAGGCCTGTAATCCCGGTACTCTGGGAGGCTGAGGTGGGAGGATCAGAAGTTCAGGGCCAGGGTGTGCAATTTAGCGAGACCCTGTCTCAAAACAAAAATGAGAAAAGGCCTGGAAATGTAGCTCAGTGGTGAAGTGCCCCTGGGTTGGTCCTCACAAAAAGACTAATCTGGCCATGACCTGCTTTCCTCCTCCCAGCCTCACCCAATCAGAACCCCTGTGGAGCAGGGAGACTGAGCCTTGGGATTAAACCTGTGGTAACAAGCAAGGGCATGAGGACTCTAAGAGATCCCCCTCTAATTTTTTCAGTGACTCCCGAATCCTCTGGGTCACCCGGCTCCCTGGGTAAGCTGCTGTGTGAGGTGACCCCAGCATCAGGACGAGAGCGCTTTGTGTGGAGGCCCCTGGACAGGTGGTCCACAAGGAATTTCCCAGGACCCTGGCTGGAGATGGCGGAGGCCCAGCTCCTTTCCCAACCCTGGCAGTGCCAGCTGCACCAAGAGGAGAGGCTTCTCGGAGCAGCGGTGTATGTCCCAGAGTCTAGCCCAGGTCTGTGGCCTCAGCTCCAAAGCAGCCATCTCAGTCCCCCTCCGGACCACCCTAGCCACGCACCCTGCCTGCCAAGCTCTTTTCACTCCATCAGGGACCTGACCTCAGCCTCCTTTTAGGCCTGACCCATTTGGACCATTAATTAGCCGAACAATTTTGGACAAGTCCTTTAAATTCTCTGGACCCCACTGCATCTGTCAGGTATGGGGGAGCGGCATCCTTTCCTGACCTGTGTCTAACTCTGTGCTTTCTCCATAGGTGCCCAGCGCTCTGGGAGAGCCCCAAGTGCCCTCCGAGCAGCCCCGCTCCCGCTCTTTCTCACCCTGGGTACCCTCTCATTGCTCCTTTTGGTGACTGGAGCAATTGGCTTTCACTTTTGGAAAAGACAGGTGAGCCAGGGACACGCCCCCTCACCCCTGGCTTCCTTCTCTTCATTCTCAGAGTGGATCCAACAACCCTTTGTCTTTCGTCTGGAAAGATGACCAAGGAGGGCCCTGGGCCCACCATCAGAGCCCCTCTTCATAGGCCTCTGCATTTCAGGGTCCTTGTATACCTGGGAAGGGGCCGAGAAGGCCCTGGACTATATAGATGGGCTCAGTATCCTTCCTGTTCCTCCTCCTCCTCCTTCTCTTCCTCCTCCCACCCTCCATCTCTCTCCATCTCTTCCCTTAGAGGAGACTGAGAAGATTTTCTGCCTTAGAGCTTGGGATTCACCCTCCTCAGACTCAGAGCAAGATAGAGGAGCTTGAGGAGGATCCAGAGCCAGAGCTGGAGCCAGAGCTGGAACCAGAGCCAGAGCCAGAGCTGGAGCCAGAGCTGGAGCCCGGGCAGCTGTGACCTGGAGGGAAGGCAGCAACGGATCCTAGCAGCTCACCCCATAATAAACCCCGTCAGCAGCAAGCCCGAGTCTGGCTCTTTCTTGTGCAGCGAAGGTTCCTGTCTCTCCCAGCCTCTGGGGGCTCCCTTCTCCCACTCCAGCCTCCTAACCTACTTTCCCCAGCCAGTCTTCCTCAGCTTCCCCTTTTCTACCTCCTTTGTCTCTCCCTCGGTCTCTCTCCTGCTCGCTTTCTCCCGGGGAATGATTTTCCTAAAGCTCCAAAAAACCCTCCCCTCTTATCTCAGCAGCCCTCTTTTCTCCATCCTTCCACCCGCATTGTGCTGGCTGCCCTGTTTTCCTGTACCTTTTTGTCCCTCTGGCTCACCTCATGCTACCTGCCGCACTGGTGCTCAGCCCCCGGGGCTGCAGCAGACTTCGCTCGTTCGAGCGCGTGCGCGCACACAGGGGCCCTGCGGTGTCAAGTCCCCGGGAGATTGGGCTCTCCACCTTCCAGGGGCGGCCGGCTGAGGCCTCTGCCCCGCCCCCACGTCCCTCCGCCCGGGGCCACTTTTCTCGTCGCAGGCGTGAGAACACACTGCCACCCCGTGGTCATGGCTTGCTATGCCACGTCGGAGGTCCGGGCCGGCGGGGGACAGCTGCAGATCTCACCGGGCACAGATCAAGGCACGGGCAGGCGCTGCCTTTGTGCTGTGCATACGGCGTGTGCAGCGTGTGAGTGTGCACCAAGCAGCTGTCACATGTCCTGTGCACCCCGCAGGAGAGGGACTGAACAATGCCTGCTTCCAGAGACACAGTGCCTGTCCTGGCAAGGTTACAATCCGAGTCTGACAAAGGCGAGGACTATGAACAAAGCCCACAGCCAGGGAGAGAAGCAGCCAAGACAGCTGGCTGCTGCTGCAGCTCCGAAAGTCGGGAGTCCTGCCTTCTTGGTCTGGTTCTGCCTCTGTGGCTGCATCAATCTTCCTGAGCCTCAGTTTCCACACCTGTTAAATGGGAGTACTTGCCAGGACAAGGACACGCACCTGTAGTCTCAGCTATTCGGGAGGCTGAGGCGGAGGATTGCAAGTTTGAGCCCAATCTGGGCAATTTATGATTTAGGGAGAGGCTGTCTGGGGGAAAGGGGGCACTGGGGATGTAGCTCAGTGCAAAGGTCCTGGGTTCAATTCCCAGTAACAACAAAAAAATAGGGAAAGTCCCCACCTGTTGGTGCCCCTCTGGCTGCCTCTCTTGGAGACAGCAGTCTTCTGGCCATGCAGGTGGCCCTTTCTGCAGATCACACTGGCCTCAGGCCTTGGAGCCACCAGGTCTGGGCCAGGGCCTGAGATCTCTGCCTGTGAGGGCTGTTGGCCCTGGATTTTGCTGCAGGGGCACACATCTATGGTCCCAGCTACTCAGGAGATCGAGACCGGAGGATTGCAAGTTCAAGACCACCTTGAGCATCTTAATGAGACTGTTTCAAAATAAAAGTATGAAAAGGACCAGAGAGGTCCCTTGATTGCACAGCAGCCCTGGTCTCTGGGCTCAACTCCAGTACAGAAGGGAAGAGAAAAAGGGAAAAAAAAAAAAAAAGCAAACAGGAGGGGGCCTGCAGGAGGCCAACACAGAGCTGTGGCAGATGCCCTACTGGGTGTCTGTCTTAGTTACTTTTCTTGTTGTTGAAACAAAATACTCAACACCTGCAAATGAAAGGAGGAAAGGTTTATTTCAGCTCACAGAGTGTAGAGGTTTCAGTCCATAGTCACCTGGCTCCAAGGCAGTGCAGCATGGTAGAGTGGCATTAGAGGAGAAACAGTCCATGGCAGAGCAGGCAGAGGCCAGCAAGCAGCAAGCAAATCTGCCTTCTTTTTAATTCTTATTTAATTTAATTTATTTATTTGGGTTTTCTGAGACAGAGTCCCATTATGTAGTTCAGGCTGGGCTTGAACTTGCTATGTAGCCCAGGCTGGCCTCAAACTCATGGCAATCCTCCTGTCTCAGTCTCCCAAGTGCTGGGATTATAGGTATGGACTACCATGCCTGGCAAGTCTGCCTTCTTTCTGCCCCTTTACATTCCACCCAGGTTACAAGCCTATTGATTGGCACCACCAATACCTAGGGTGGGGCTTCCATTGTCCACACCCTTAACCCCAGTATCAGATCCTTAATCCACATTCACACATCCTAATCCAGCTATCTCCATAGTTGAGCCTCCTTACCTATGACTGCATGAGGCTTTTGGGAAGCATCTAGATATGTCATAACAGTATCCCATTGAGCCCATATGCCATGGGCAAAGTGACACCAAGGGACAAAGCAGGAGGTTGACAAGCCATCTCTGTCTCAGACTTGGGGACAGAGAGCAGAGAGAGGGGTGTGATTTTGTGCAGAGCCTTCGAGGAAAGGGGTGCCCTCTGAAGCTGGAATACTGAGGTGTCTAAAGCACCTGGGCTCCCAGCCTCCAGGCCGCTGTGTGATTCTGGCTTTGTCACAGATGGAGAATCAGAGGCACAGAGGGAGGAAGCTGTGCCCTTGATGATTGTGTCATCCTATAAAGTGGAGTCCTGAGGGCCTCTGGAGTCTCCAAGGCATCATGTCACCCTCCTCTGTGAGGTGCCTCCCCCCAAGCCCAAGCTGTCTCAGCACCCTGCCTCGTGCATCCCGAGTTTTCATGGGCAGGGTTTCCTAGAAAGTTCTGTGGGTGGCATTTTCCCTTTCTACCAAGTGACATCCTATGGCCTTGGGCTTGTGAGAGGAGTCATCGAAGCTGCACCAGGGCCAATGCAGGGATTTTCCCAGGGCTTTTCATGAGGAGACAGGAAGAGGCAGAGGCAGCTTGGAGGACCACCTGTTCCTCAGCTCCCTGGAGAGAGAACAGGGCAGAAGGAAGAGGAGGTAGAGGGCTTGTGCTTCCGGCGCTTCCGCATGAGGTCTTTCCTGGGGTATATCCCTACTCCTACCTCTCCCCCGTAATCCCACTCCTCAGCCAGCAGGATAACCTTTAGCCCTTTCTGAGTACTCCAGGGAGCTGGGGTTAATTTATTTGATCTCTCTCTCTCTCTCTCTCTCTCTCTCTTTCGTCTTTTTCCTGTGATACTGGGGATTGAACCCAGGACTTTTGCACTGAGCCACATCCCCAGCCCTTTTATTACTTTATTTTGCGACAGAGTCTTTCTAAATCACTAAGTTGCCCAGGCTGGGCACAAACTTTTGATCCTTCTGCCTGCACGTCCCACAATGCTGGGATCGCAGGTGTGCAACCCAGCACCTGGCTCATTTGAAACCTTTTAAGTTTTTTGGGGGGAGGGGTGTTACTTGGAGTGGAATCCAGGGCTCGACATATGCTAGGCAGGTGCTGTACCCCTGGCCTCCGCATCTCCGAGGAACCTGCAAGCCAGGGTTCCGAGGTGGAGCCTGGAGGGCAGTGGCTTTAGGGATTCAGAGAGCTTTGGGGGTGGGGGGCGGGCAGTCATCTCAGATCCTTGATAGGAAGGAAGGGGAGCATATTCCTTCTCTACCGCTGCATAAAGTCACCCCAGGCTTGGTCATTCAAAATAATAACCCTATGCTCTCACACAGTTGGACATCAAGAGCGACCTCACAGAGCACTTCTCGTAGAGGGTGTCAGGAGGCTGCTGCCGAGATGGGGCCAGGCCTCCGGTCATTCGCATGGTTTGGCTGGGGCTGGAGGATCTGCTCCAGGAAGGCGGCTCAGGTGGCTGAGGGCCAGAGGCTGCAGCTCCTGCCCACGAGGGCTCCTGCACTGGGCCTCTCCCGCTGCCTGAGGAGGCTTCCCCTGAGGGCTCGAGGTGACGAGCCCACGGCTACCAAGTCCTCGGCACCTAGTCTTGAAAGTGACCTTCAATCACTTCTGCCGTGCTCAGTTGTCCACAAAGACAACCTTGACGAAATGCAGGATGGGATGCTCGGGGAGTGTGAAGCGGCAAGGCCATCTTCCGTGTGGTGGCCAGAGGGGGCGCAATGCCTGGCAGACAGACAGGCCAAGGGACAAGGGCACCCTGAGGGTCCCTCCGAGTGTCCCTCCGGAGTTTGTGGTCCAGAAGTCTTGGGGCCAGCAGAGGCCCAGGGCCTTGGCAGGCCAAGTGGTCGGGCAAGTGGCCGCACTTGCCCTGTGGCCACTCTTGGGGTGCACTGGCCTCAGCTGAGCAGGGCAGGGTGGAAGCGCCAACAGGCACAGGAAGTTCTCCACTGTGCCGCCTCTGTGAAGAACAGCAAGGGGCAGGCTTCCCTGTGGGGCCACCCATGGGGGACCTGCCCCTTTGAAGGAATGGGGTGGGGTAGGGACCGGGAGCATCTGCTTCTGCTTGTGGCTAACAGTTTCTCCAGGGGCCGAGGGTGTCAGCAGGCTGAGCCCAGCCTCCATCCTCGATCCTTCCCCGGGAGGCCCCGGGGCCACCCTCGGAGAGTTGCCACAGGTGGTGCTGAGTTGGGGAGGAGGCCGCCCAAGGTGGGGTCTGCCGCCCAAGGTGGGGTCTGCCGCCTCCACTGCTTCCTGGCCCCTCCCAGGCCCCAGTCCCCCCAGCCCCTTGCACAGGGTGTCAGCACCCCTGCAGAAGATTCTGGAAAGGAGGTCACCACAGGGCTGCAGCCAGCGTCTCCCGCTCCCTCCCTCACTGGCTGTGCTGGAGCCTTCACCACTGGTCCTGGCTCTCTGTAGCCCCCAGAGACTGGGGTCCCCCTACTGCCCATCTCCTTTCTCCTCCTCGGCCTCCTCCTCCTTCATGGAGACACAGAATGGGCACAAAATAACTTCCGACAGGAACTAGAGACCCTGGAAATCCCCTGCTTCATGTTCACAGTCGTGTAACAGGAGAGACAGCCATCTTCTATAAGATGATGAGTAGTGCAGGTGCTTGATTTTCTTGATGTTCTTTTTTTTTTTTTTTTTTTTTAAGAAGGTTCTCTCTATGTAGTTCAACTGGTCTTGGACTCACTATGTAGCCCAGGCTGGCCTTGAAGGCACAGTGATCCTCCTGCCTCAGCCTCCTGAGTGTTGACATTGCAGGCCTGCACCACCGTGCCCTGCTCTTTTCTTTTTCTTTCTTTTCTTTTTTTTTTTTTTTTTGGTACTAGGGATCGAACTCATGACCTTGCTCTTGTGTGGCAGGCGAGGTGCCACAGAGCTAAATCCCCAACTCCCTCTTCTAACTTTTTGAAATGCACATCATACCCTCTTCCTCAGGAGTCATCCTACCCTGCAATGCCACCCCAGAACTTTTGCCCCTGATTGTCACTTAGAACCCACTGGTCACCTTTCCCATTCCCACCCAGCCTATTGGTAACCACCATTCTATTCTCAGCTGCTAAGAGCCAGCATGATGGTGCAAGCCAGTCCCCTAGCACTCAGGGGTGAGGCAAAAGGATCACTGAGTGCCTGAACTACACAGCGAGGCCCTATCTCCAAAAAAAAAAAAAAATCAAAGATTGTGAGATCAATTTTGTTATTTTTATTTTTTCACAATGCTGTGAATCAATCCCAGGACCTTGTACATGCTAGGCAAATACTTTACCACTGAGTTACATCCCCAGACCCTTTTTATTATCTTTTAAAATTTTGTGGCAGGGTCTTGCTAAATCACTAAACTGTCCAGGTTGGGCTCAAAATTGCAGCCCTCCTGCTTCAGCCTCCTGGAGTGCTGAGATGACAGGCATGTGCCACCACAGCCTGCTAGGCTCATTCTCAACTTTCTTAGTGTAGAAGTAAGTGTGATGAGGGGCACGATGTAAGGACTGAGTCCATGTCGGCAAAGTCAAATCTCAGTTCCACCTATTCTGGGTATGAGCTCTGTCCCCTTGAACAATTTTTTTTTCAGTGCTGAGTACTGAACCTAGGGCCTATGCCTACTAGCAAGGCCTCTGCCACTGAGCTCTACCCCCACCCCATGTTTTACAAAACTCTTTGAACCTCAGTTTCTTCATCTGTAAGGTTTGGCTGGGCGTGATGCCACCTGCCTGTGATCCTAGCACTCAGGAGGCTGAGGCAGGAGGATCATCGTGAGTTCAAGGCCAGCCTGAACTATATAGTGACACCCTGTCTCAAAAAAGCCAAACAAGGCCAGGGATTTAGCTTCGTGGTTCCGGTGCCAGCCTCGCAAGCGTACAGTCCCAAGTTCAATCCCCAGTACCAAAAAAAAAAAAAAAAAACCAAACAAACAAAAAAAACCCAAAAGTAAGTTTTGGAGAATAACACCTGCGTCCTGTTGTTCTTGTCCTTTTGAGGACTCGATGAAATCCACAACCACAAGAAGACAAAGCAAATCTAAGTGCACTATAAACAACTTTCTCTTCTTCTTGTCTTATCCTCTTTGGAGAGCCTGGAGGCAGAGCCAGATTTCTGGGTCTGTTGACTCCTAGGAGCCTGTCTGCTCAGACAATGATAGAACAAACACCCACAGAGGGGAGAGGCCCCACAAGGTCCCTGGTCCCCTGAGGTTGGAAACAGGTGTGTGTGTGTGTGTGTGTGTGTGTGTGTTGCAGCTGGAGCCAGGCCTGGGAACTCTTTCATCAGCCCAGTGTTATAACAAAACACAAATGCACTGTCAGCATTACAACATGATGCTATTACATAAATGTCTCGTCCACTTTTTCTTGAAATATTGGCAAAGCTGGCAACTCTAGGCTCACATTCTGATAACTTCTGGTGCAACCTCTGCATTGCACCTGGGGCTGTGGAGGTGCTGGCTCCCCGGTTAGCTTAGGTGGGTGTCTAGTTTACCCCTGCTCTTCTTTTCTCCCCTCCCCCCTCCCTCCCCTCCTTTTCTGTTACTGGGGATTGAACACAGAACCTTTACAGTGAGCTACATCCCTAGCCCTTATTTTATTTTTACTTGTGTTTTTTAAAATTTTGAGACAGAGCTTACTAAGTTGTCCAGGCTAGATTCGAGTTTGCTGTGTTCCTGCCTCAGCCTCCCAAATACTGGGATGACATGCTTGTGCCACCACCTGTTTTTCTCATCTGCATTATCTAGCTGGCTCCTGCTGCTGTAGTCTAGCCTCATTTATTCATTCATTCATTCATTCAGAGATGTTCTCAAGCCGGGAGCTGCGGGAGGACGAGGTGTTAGGGTTTTATGGGGACATGGTTTCCTGGGTTCAACTCCCACACCAAAACATAAATAAGTAAAATAAAAGGGTTCAAAGTGGAACATTTTAGCTTGGTTTTTCTGTTACATGCTTGCAGTCCCAGCATTCTGGGAGCTGAGGCAGGAGGATCAAAGGTTCCAGCTCAGCCTGGGTAATTTAGTGACATAGCAAGACCCTGTTTCAAAACAAACAAACAGGAAGGGGGTGTGGAGCTGAAGATGTAGTTCAGTGCAAAGGTCCTAGGTTCAGTCCTCAGTACTGCTCTCCAAAAGGGAAATTTTGTGTTATGTATATTTTATAATAATAAATTTAATATTAATCAATGTCAATAAAACTGATATATAAAAAAATTCAACAAGCCAGACATGGCGGCATATGCCTCTAATCCCAGCACTCTGGGAGGCTGAGGCAGGGGGATTCAAAGTTGGAGACTAATCTGGGGAAATTTAGCAATTTAGTGAGATGCAGTTGCAAAATTTAAATTTTTTTTCATTAAGTTAAAAAAAAATTTTAATTTTAAAGAGGGCTGGGGATGTAGCTCAGGTTCTGGTTCAATACTCACTACCACAAAAATCAAATCAGTCAGTCAATCAATCAATCAATCAATCAATCAATACTATTCCACAAGTATTAAGGGTCTAGCAGGGCCAAGGCACTCCCTAGGGTGCTGGGGGCTGGGAGGGCAGGTCTGTGTGATCCTGTTCAGGGAGACAGACACTGAACAATGGATGATTCTCACCCTTGGACAGGTGCTGTGAGGGGAGGGCGCAGGGTGGGGGAGGCCTGTCGCAGGGGAGCCTGAGGGCCCTGCCGGACGGTGGGGCCCAGGTTAGAGGTCCTAACCTCAAGTGTGTCTGTTGGGGCCTGCTGCTGGGGTACAGTGTGGCCCACCCTCCTCAGGGTCTTTCCTGAGAGGGGAAACTTCAGTCTCTCGAAGGCCTGTGGTTTGGAGTTTCCCTTCGCAGGAAAGGAAACCCACCCCGAGATGCTGCCAGCGCACTTCTCCCTGTGGGAACAATGCCCCCGTGATGAGATGGCCCAGCTGTCCGCAGTTCCTTTGCAGTGCTTCTTCACCTGTCACCAAATTCTTCACTGCTCGGTGCACAAGTCCCAAGCCAGAGCTTGAGTGACTTTGTCTGTCGAATTTGACATCGGGTCCTCAGTGCCTGGCACAGGGCCTTGGGCTGGTGGGCCCATGGCAAGTGGTGGTCGGTGAGTGAGAATGAACAAGGAGGTTTGGACTGAGCAGGACTCACACTCAGAGGCACAGGAGCCTGCTGGGGAGGCTGATGAGGACAGCAGATTGGCTGTGAGCCTAGGAGGGGTTCGCCTGCCTCCCACCCTGAGAGAGGCAGAGGGACTGGGGAAGGGGTTTCCACGGCTGATCCTTACCAAGAGGGCTCATTTAGATCCCTGAACCAAGATTCCGTTACTTGGCTACATTCTACTACAAAGTAGAGTTCCTGGAGATATCTGTTAAGTAATATCTACCTGGGCCGCTAAGGCTGGGTAGGTACAGTGCTGTGTGCCTATAGTCCCAGCTACTCAGAAGGCTGAGGCAGGAGGATTGCTTGAGCCCAGGGGTTTGAGATCAGCTTTGGCAACATAGTGAAACCCTGTCTCAACAACATGACACTTCATGCTTGCTGACCTATTTGCTCAGCTAAAAATTGAAGAAGGAGGAGCAGGAGGAGGAGGAGCAGGAGGGGAGGAAGAGGAGGAGGTGAAAGCATTTCAGGGACAACTAAAGGATGGTTCAGATCTGAAGAATGAACAAATTCCCGAAATCCATTCTCAGAGTGTTAAGCTGCCCAGTGGCTTCCCTGCACATCCTTAGGTCTCAAGGGAGCCTCAAGATCAAGCTAACTTCATGCCAGCGCCAAGACTTTATCTGCCTCCCTCACTGTGTTGACATCGCTGTGTTGCAAAAGCGATCAGGGTAAAACTGTTGCCTTCGCTCAGATCCAGGCAGAGGCACCAGGAGTCTTCCCTGCCAGGTGCTTGCAATGAAAAAAAGAAAAATTAACACCAGTTTTCCTGAAGAATGCCCTTGAAGAAAAGGTAAATATTAATTGCATTAAATCACAACCATTGAGTACAACGTGTCATGGAAAGAGAAGTAGCCAAAAGCACATGTGCCATAAAGGGCATGATGGTTGCACAAGCAGAAGCGCTTGTATTAATCACTGCTGTTGCAAGCTGGACTCCGCACTTTCCTCAGAGTGGGGGAATGGCACATTCACACTTCATCTTTCTTTCTTACTTTTGTCTGTGGTATTGGGGAGTGAACTTAGGGCCTTCCCACTGAGCTACATCCCAAGCTCTATTTAATTTTTTATTATTTTGAGACAGAGTCTCGCTAAGTCACTAAGTTACCCAGGCTGGGCTTAAACTTTTGATCCTCCTGCTTCAGCCTCCCCCAGTGCCGGGATCGCAGGTGTGTGCCCCCATGCCCAGCTGCCTATATAGGGACCTTCTGGGGATCACTCTGGCTGTGTGTGGAGCTCATCCTGGAGAAAGGCTGCATGGAGAGGCCAGGACCAGCGGGGAGGCAGGAGCTGCAATACAGGCAAAGGACGACAGTGGTATCCTGGGCTGGAGTGGGGGTCCCGGTGCAGAGTGACCTGGGTGGGTTTCGGGGCCATTTAAAGGGTAAAGTCCACAGGAAGTGGGAACTTGAAGAAATAGGCACATGTGTGCTAAGTTGGCTTGGGTTGGGTGACTGCCCAGGTGGTGTTGTCCAGGGGGCAGATGGGAATCCACAAGGGAGCTCCCGAGAGACTGGCTAGAGAAAAGCCCTGGAGCATGGGAACACCCTGCCCAGGGGCCTGGGTCCCTTCCTGCCATGCTGGGCCACCTAGGACATCTCTGGAACCTGCTGCCGGAAGTGTCTGCTGAACACATGCCCCAGGGCCCTGGGCCTCAGCTCTCCGCCCCACTGCTCCCCCAGCCCAGCATCTGCCTGTGCCAAGAACACAGTCTTTTCACCCCCGACAGAGGCTGTGAGGGTCTGGGCTACAGCCAGATGCTGCTTAGCTTTTTTTCCCATGACTTTGCCATTTTCGCTTCAACATTTTCCCCAAGAGCTGGGGTGTGGGAGGGGTGACCCCAGGCCCAGGTGGTGACGTTGGGGGCTGGCCCAGGCCTGGAGCTGGAGGAGCCTCTCCACCCTGCTTCCTGTCTCTCTTCATTTAAGAACATCTCTGCAGCAGTGACAAAGCCCTCTCCCCACTGGCGACAGAGCCCACACCTCACATCTGTTCGAGGAGCAAAAGGAAGATAGTCAGGCTCAGAGGTAAGAGGTCTGGCTCCAGCTGCTTTCCTTTCCAGGGAGCTGGGAAGGGCTGAGAACATGGCGCCATGCGCTGAGCGCTGGACTCTCAGTTTCTGCCCAAAGTGCTGGCCGCCTTCTCTTGTATTTCTCTCAGAACTGGTCCTAAGCGGCCATGGGCCGCTGTGACTGTGAGCTTCTAGAGACCAGGGCTACCCCTCGCTCCTCTGCATCCCCACCAGGCTCAGACCCTGCAGGACTGGAGAAGCCCAGGGCAGCAAGGTGTGGAAGGCTCCCAGTCACGGGACAGGGGATGAGGGGAAGCCCAAGAGAAAGAGAAAGAGCAGAAAAGGAGCTGAGGAGGAGAAAGTAAGGAATAAGTATTATGGTGGGAGATCTATAGAGAAGCAAAAAGAGGAGAAAAATGGTGAAAGGAAGAAAAAGAGAATGAGAAGTGGAATCTAGTTGAGAGACAGTTCTCCCAAAATTAATTTCTGCAATGGCACAATCATTAAAAATTCACACTTCTAATCACACCTGCAGCACCTTAAGCCACAGAATTTATGTAGCCTCTCTTAACTCTTTTGAGTTTATGTGTATCTTAAAATTTCTCTACTTTTGTGGATTTTTGGAATTTTTGAACAATATGTCTAAAGGCGCTTCTACTTTAGTTAGCTTGATTAAGGAAATAGAAAGCTAAAATTCTCAAAAAGTACTGAAACCGAGCTATTATGAAATACTGTAAAGAGGATGTATACGTGTGTGTGTGTGTGTGTGTGTGCGTGCATGCACGTATACTTTAGGTAAGTGTGACATTAGCAAACTTGACTCTAAGGGAATGAGTGTTAGTGTCTTGGAGGCCAGGAGAGGCAGGAGAGGGTCTGCAGACCCCTGGCTGCCCCAGGCTTGGTGAGGTGTTGGGGAGACCCAAGACTCCATGGATGTACCGCCCTCTACGACTCCAGCCTCCCCTCCACATCATCAGCCTTTCCGCTCTCCAGAGGCCTTGAGGCCTTGAAGCCATTCTGCCTCCCCTCCCCTGTCCTCTGCCTTTACCTCATAGAATTGTTCTGAGGGAGAATTCTCCTAGGGTACCGTCTGATCCCCCAGAACAGAAAGGCTCCACTCTTGATCAAAGACTCTACTCTACATGGGATAGTTCTTTGTGAGCATCATGCTGTCTTGTGGGACACCTTTTTAGGAGTGCAAGGGTAGGGGAAGAACCCGAGGGGGAGGTCATTGCCGGTTCATGTTTTGGTAAACAGTTGCTTGTGCTGCGCTGGACCCTGTGGGCTAATACAAAATGGCTGCCCTGGCGGCAGGCAGGGGAGGACAGACGCTCGGGAGGTGGCCTCGCTGTCTGGGCTGGCAACCTCACTCAGAGGAGGCCTACCTTTGAATGCAAACCCTCCCACACCGGCTGGTGTTGGCAGAGCAGCCCCAGGCCCTGCCCGTGGCCATAGGCCTCAGTGAATGTCAGCAGGCGACTTCGATGAGGGTAGGACAAGGATACCTAGTCCTGCGTGGGGGAGAAGCCGGGACTGGGTCTGCCGGGTGAAGGTGAGCTCGGTGCGTGCCTCTGGGGGGTGAGGGGCGGGCGCAGCGCCCCCTCAGTGGGCGTCTGAGGCAAAGGAGAGGATGGTGGAGGTTGCCACCACCAAACCACGAGTCCCCTGCTGGGTCCGGATCTCTAGGAAGTTTACCCGAAGCCAGGCAGCAGGCGACAGCGCATGGTGGGGTGGCGCATCCCGCGGCAGGCCCGAGTGGGCTGTGGGGTGAAGATGAAAGCGCCTGCGGGCCCACAGGCTGCCGCTGTGGTGGGGCTGTGCCCTCTTCCTCTCTCAGCCTCATCCCACCGGCCGGGGTGAGCGCTGTGGGGCTGCGCTGCTAGGTGCCCGACATTTCGCCTGCGCCGCCTTCCTCGCCGCGCCTCCGCTTCCGCTCCGTCCAGCCCGCGCGGGGCCTGGGCCGAGCTGGCGTGAAGGCGAGAGCCACCCCGGTCTCTGCTCCCTCAGTCCTCCCGCGAAGCCTCTGCGCGTTCGCGGGAAATCTGTCCCTTCCTTTGTCTGCTGCGTCCCTGGCACCCCGCGGCCATCGCCCCTGCACTGCTGCGCCCTGCAGGTCGGAGCTCAGCCTGGCACAGGCAGCAGCTGGAGGGGCAAGGACGGGGAGGCCGGGCCAGGGGCTCCGAGCAGGAGGAGGAGAGACAGCACCGGGAGGTGGAGGCTGAAGTCAGGCAGGCGGGGAGGCGCAGATTCAGAAACGCACAGCTGTGAGCAGAGAAATCAGCAAAGGAAGAGAGGGGGAGGGCGGGGGGAGAGAGAGAGAGAGGCGGCCTCCCAAGAACACAGGCCCTGTGGCCTCTCCTGGGCGACGGTGCACAGGATGCTACTGTACCGAGGCTGAGGGCCTCTGGGGACGCTGAGGATGTGGAAAGCAAAGGCGAGATCTCTAGGGTGGCAGTGGAAGCCAAAGCACCAAAGAAAGCAGCGGCTGGAAACCCACAGCCTCCTGCCCTAAGCCAAACCCTGGGCATGGGCACGGGGACAGGGAGATAGTGGCTTTGGGCACCAGCCCCAGCCCCAGATCATGGAGGGAGAAGGCACAAAGACTTTAACCGGGGGAAGGGCCCAGAATGCCTCAGACTCCCTCAGCTTCCTCCTGAGGGCCCTAGAGGAGGGGCATCCCCTGGACACCGGCCCCTCTACCCTCTGCTCACCAAGGACAGTTGGTGTAGGGTGGGAGCACAGTAGGATGCTCTTGGGTATGAGAGTCCCCTGGCCCACTCTTCCCACACCGCCTTCCTCAAGTGCTTCCCATGCCCTGCCTTGCAGTTACTTGTGAACAACTCTGCCCTGACTACCTACAAGCCTCCTTCCTAAAGCTCCTCTTCCTAGTCCCTGGTGTAGCCGAAATCTATCACCCCTCTGTGTATCTGTATTTGTCCATCTGTCTGTTGCAAGCATCAACCTGAATTAGCCCTGGGTGATTCCTCTTCCAGGCAGACAGAGGACTTGGATGGGAGCTCTTGGTGTCTTCCTCTCACAGGAGAGCAAACCTCCAGCACGTCAAACTCCACCTCAGAGGGTTTCGGGGATTGCAGAAAGGGGGTTATTTACCCAAGTGTGCACAGGATAAGGAAAGCAACCGGCATGTTGGGGCACAGAGACCCTAGTCACAGCAGGGAGTGTGCAGAGCAGAAATGGGGTTTCTGGAACCCAGTGAGGGACTAAGTTGTGGATAAAGGGTCACCTGGTCAGAGTTGTCGTAGAGAGGAGCAGGACAGCTCTTGCCAGAAAATACCTCCAGAGGAGGGAAAAATCAGTGCCCCAGAATCTTCGATCCTCCCACTTCATCTCTTTCTAGAACTTTCCGTCGGCCCACCCACGCTGAAGCCCCAGGGCTGGGGTTGGGGTGGTGTTGGCAGCTGCTCAGTGGAAACCAGGGTAGAGGAGATGGAAAAGAACAAGTAGGATGCGTTGGGGTGACTTGGCTCTGCCCAGGACACACTGGGTATGCACACACACTTACATGACTCATTATCTACTCTTTTTTTTTTGGTACCAGGGATTGAACTCAGGACCTTGCACTTGCAAGGCAGGCACGGTGCCACTGAGCTAAATCCCCGGCCCTTTACTTATTTTTCATTCTGTTTTGAGGTACTGGAGATTGAACCCCAGGGCCTTGTATTTGTTAGGCAAGCGCTGTACTGCTGAGCTGTGTCCCAAGCTATAAATGGCCCATTTTGCACACAGAAGTAGTATGTTAAGTACAGTGAGGGATCTGTGATTTCTCTTCCTCCATTCAATTTGATTTGGTAAAAGATAACCGAATACATCCCGAGTCCCTTGTTTATGCTTCAGCTGGTGCCAGGCCAGTGGTGGCTGCACAGCTAGCTGGATTATCACCCCATCCTTGAGTAGTTCAAGCTGGAGAGGGAGAAACTGGGAACCCAAGTCATGACACCGGAAGGTGGAAGCTGGGCCACATCTGAGAGGGGTCAGTGGGGAGCTGGGGGAGTTCAGAGCAGGCCTAATGCCTGTGGAGCTCGGAGAGCAAAGGTGACTCCAGGGGAAAGAAAGACTGGGCTTGGGAGAGAGACCATAAGTCTGCATGCAGGTTGCCCTCGCCAGTCGCTCTCCCGGTGGTCACCTCTCCGAGGTCCATTATGGCCCAGGCCTGGACTTAAAGTCACCCAGGCCCTGGTCCTGTCTGCTTTTAAGGTGCTGTAGGTGGCCCTCCTATAGTCTCTGCTCCTTCCATTTCATTCCCTCTCTGCTTACTGTATCGAGTACTCTAAAACCACGTAGAGTAATAGGTTGTGCCACATCCCGTATCAGTCAGCAGTGGGGCTGGGGATGTGGCTCCGTGTGGAATGGGACAGCCTGGGTTTGCGCTTCAGCTCTGAGGGGCGTGTGATCAGCAGCAGCTCTGAGCCTCAGAAGTGGACCCAGCTCTGAGCCTGCCTGTGAAGAGCCACAACCTGACCCCACTGTCCCCTCTGTGCTGGCTGCCTCCCTCTTTACACGCAGCCCTCCTCCAGCCTCCCCACACCTCTGCACACCAGGCTGGGATGCCCTCCCCTACCCCTTCCCTTCCCCTCCCCTCTCACTCTTGGTTTTCAGACGTGAGCACCATTGGTCACCTGGGGCCCCATCCCTGCAGGTTGGGGCAGCCTGAGAATCTGTATTTCTAACAAATTCCCGGCAGTGCTGAGGGATGGTGCTGATTCCTCTTGGACTCAGTCCTCTGTGGTGCTGCTGTCTCTTCCTCGAGGCCCACGGAGCCTCTCTGAAGGCCCCTTTGCCTCCAGCCTTAGGCGACTCCCAGATCGCAGGGTCGTCCTTCACCTGCACAGCCTCCTCCCAGCATCCCACCGACCTGCGGCCTTAGAGGCTGGTCCAACATGAGCAGGAGAGGCCTTGCTCTTCCTTCAGCCCTCACGAATCAGCCTCAGCTCTGAGGATTTCACCTCAGAACACTCAGTGGCCCACGTGTCCCAGACACATGTCCCAAGCCAGGCCTCTCCTCTCTCCCCGCCTGTTGCCACCCAGCTGTGCCGAGGGGCTTCCTCCCGTCCATCTTCCACAGCAGCTGCAGGGACCCATGCTACACGTGGAATTTTCCTCAGTAGGTGGAACCCTGTCCCGCTCCCTGCTGCACAGAATCAAGTCCAGCATCTGAGCACTGAACTGCAGGACCTGGCTCCCAGTCCCTGTCCCCCTCACTTTGCCCCTTCTCCACGAATCCGTTTCTGATCCCACCTGTTAAGGACCTGGTCCTGGCTGGGCAAGGCATTTTAAAGTTATTTTAACTTAAAAAATATTAAAAAGCAACACAAGGGCTTGAGGTGTAGCACAGTGGTAGAGCGCTTGTCTGGCATGCATAAGACCCTGATTTTGATCCCCAGCACTGCGACAAATAAACAGATAAAGAAATGAGTGTATAAGGGCTGGGGATTTAGTTCAGTGACACTGCACCTTCCTCAAAAGCGAAAGTTCCTGAGTTTTATCCCTGATACCAGAAAAAGAATAAATGACCACAACGAAGATTCTTCCCTACCTCAGTGTGTGGTATTTCCATTTGTTCCATGCTTTCGTTTTGTTTTGTTTTTCGCTACCAAGGATTGAACTCGGGTCCTTTACACTTGAGTTCCATGCTTTAAAGCCCGAGGACGTCTCCACTTCCCAGTGTCTATGGGCCTGTGTCTGCCAAGCAGACAGGAGACTCAGCAAAATAAAAATAAGAACACAGTCTCAATGCAAGGGGGTAGATACATTACACATTTGAAAATTAATGTCAGGGCTGGGGTGTAATCCAGGGGGCAGAGGTTGCCTGCAATGTGGGAGGCCCTGGGTCTCCACCCTCAGCACCTGGAAAAACAAAAACAAAAAACCCCTCAACACCACAATGCCAATAAAAGTGATAGGTATTTTTTTTGTTTTGTTTTGCTTTGGGGTTTTGAGACAGGGTCTCGCTATGTAGTCTAGGCTGATCTTGAACTCTTGGCAATCCTCCTGAATTCTGGGATTACAGGCATGTACCACCATACCTGGTTTAAAAGTGATAGTTTTTTGGTACTGGGACCAAACTCAGTACTCTGTGGTTGAGAGGCAGGCAGGCACGGTGTCACTGAGCTAAATCTCTGGTCCTAAAAGTGAGTTTTTACAGGTGAAATAGAAGTATCTGGAACTCATCTACCACAAGTTTCCAAGTCTGGACTGACACAATAAATTATAACATTGTAAATATATGTTTTTGTGTTATTTATTTATTTATTTATTTATTTATTTATTTGGTACCAGGGATCGAACTTGGGTCCTTGCGCTTGCGCAGCAGGCGGCAAAACCACTGAGCTAAATCCCTGGCCCCTTTTGTGTTATTTATATGGAGCAGAATCAGTAATCTATGCTTAAGCTTTTTAAATCAAAGCAGAGCAGAAATCCAAAGTAAAAAGAAATCTTCTCCATGTTGAATCAAACAACTTCTTTCATGAACTTCTTGTTAAAAGCCTCAAATAATCAACAAAATGAGAAAATCCATGCATGCTACAATCTCTCAGAACTGGATATTTCTTCAACAAAGAGATAGAAAGCAGAAGTAGTTATGTTACTTTCTCCCCAAGTGCCTGGGGGAATGTGTTCTGCTTTTATTAGAAGACTACACTACACTAACTCTGTGGCACTCGCCGATGGTACTAGGGATTGAACCCAGGCCCTTCATACTGAGCTACACCCTCAGGCCTTTTTCTTATTTTGAGATAGGATCTTGCTAAGGCTAAATCACCTGGGCTGGGCTGGAAGTTGTGAGTCTCCTGCCTCAGCCTCCCAGAGTGCTGGAATTACAGTTGTACACCACCACACTGGGCTAAGACTTCAGCTTTTTCTATAAATGCCCTGGGACTTTAATCTGTATTTGACACACAGCCTTTGGTGTCATGCACCAAAGGGCTCTGCTTGGTGTGTGCCCGGGACTATAAGAGCCCTTCGAGAGGTGAATGGCACTTGGCTGACCACCCTTACCGGTCTTGGTCCCTGTGCTTCTCCAGGTTCAGGCCCTCGCCTGCCTCAGCAAGGCCACAATGAAGGCAGGACTATGTTCCAGGCTCCTGCTCCTGCTGCTGCCCATGGGTAAGTGCAGGGGCAGGGTGTGGGAAGTGGGTGCCCGGACATGGGGGTGGGTGTGGGTGTCACAGCGGCAGCAGGGACCTGACTCTCCTCTCCGGCCTGGCCTCTGCTCAGTGGTCTCTCAAGGAAAGGAAGTGGTTCTGGGCAAAGAAGGAGGCACAGTGGAGCTGCCCTGCATGGTGCCGGAGAAGCAGAAGATGGACTTCAGCTGGAAATTTCCCAACGAGCTCAAGATTCTGGGAACCCAGAGAACCTACCTGACTCGAGGTAGGAGGCCCCTGTCCTTCTGGGGACTGAACACCCCACTTCAAGGATCTGCTCCAGAAAAGCTGGGACTCCCAGGGCTGGGGTGAGGGAAACTCAGCAGCACCTTTGTCTGGGATTTCCGCATGCCAACCGCTGCTGGCAAATATCTTTTGGTATTAATTACAATATCTTTATATGCATGACCTTATTTTAATGGGTAGTAGAAAAATAACTATCCCATAAAACACATCATAAGAATATTATTGCTGCAGGCCCATGTAGAATGATACTCTGTTTACTTCCATTAAAAGCAATAGAGTGGGGGCCGGGGATTTAGCTCAGTGGTTCTGCCGCAAGCGCAAGGTCCCGAGTTCGATCCCTGGCACCAAAAAAAAAGCAATAGAATGGTTTTTAAATTATTTATTTATTTATTTATTTATTTATTTTGGTACCGGGGATTGAACTCAGGTCCTTGTGCTTGCACAGCAGGCGACGAAACCACTGAGCTAAATCCATGGGCCTACTTTGGTTTTTTGAGACAGGGTCTTGCTCTGTACTGCAGGCTGGCCTTGAACTCACTATGTAGCCCAGGCTGGCCTCCAACTCACAGCGATCTTCCTGCCTTAACCTCCCCAGTGCTGGAATTACAGGCATGTGCCACCACACCTAGCTCATAAAGCTACTTTGAAAAATAAACTTATTTTGGGTCAGGGGATGTAGCTCAATGGTGCTGCGCCTGCCTGGAAAGTGCAAGGTCCTGAGTTTGATTCCTGGTACAAGAAAAAAAACTTATTAAAAAATAAACTTATTTAATTTTTAAAAAGTGAACTCATTTAAAGATGTTACATATAGGGAACAGCTAGACTTGGCTAAAACCATGTATGAAGTCTGAGAATGGTGGAAGTTTGGGAAACAGCTCCATCAGAGCCTCTGGTGGAGTCTGAGGTTTCAGTACATGAATGGGAGGGGCATAGTTCATACCATAAAATGTCATACACAAGCTGCATTCATCCTGTCCCAACAACCCCCAAAGCTCAACCCATTGCAGCACCAACTCTGAAACCTAACATCCAAAGTTTCATCCGAGTAGTGTCCAAATCAGACCTGGATAATATATAATTCATTGGGCTGGGGATTTAGCTCAGTGGTACCACCACCTACCTTGAAACTGCAAGGTCCAGAGTTCGATCCCCGGTATCCCCCCCAAATATATATATAAAATTCGTCAAGGTATAATTCATCCTGAGGTAGAATTCCTCTCCAGCTGTGAACCTGTGAAACTAGACAAGTTAGGTGCTTCCAAAATATAGTGGTGATCAGGCACAGGGTGGACTTTGCTATTTCAAAAGGGAGAAATCAAAAAGGAGGAAGAGGCGATGAGCAACCTCAGCAACTCAGAGTCCACTGGACTCTAAGTGGAACACAGCACTCTTTGGCTTGCTGCCCATTGTAATGGCAGTGTTGCCCCCTCTGGGCAGGGTTCTGTCCCCACGGCTTCAGACAGGGGCCATCTGGTCTGCTGAAACTCAGAAAACGGCTCTGGTGGTCTTGAACCATCACTGGGGTAATTATTTCCTCTTCTGGAGTAATCCTCTCATTCATATCTGACAGCCCTGCTGTTCATGCTGTCAAATCCAAGGAGTCCAACACTGTTCCTTCACCTCACCCCCCCAACCACTTTAGTCCAAACAGCCAATGTGCTTCTGCTCCTATGACCCAATACTCTTTGCTGAATGGTTGTCTAGCCAGTCTTTGATGTTCTCTTCCAAACACATGTCCTCACTTTTGAGATATGATTAGGTTGAGCATTTTCCAAAATCTTTGGGTTCTGATGTCGTTTTTTTTTTTTTGGTACAGGGGATCGAACTCAGGACCTTGCACTTGCGCGGCAGGTGCTGGAACCACTGTGCTAAATCCCTGGCCCCTGGTGGTGTTTTTTATTTTCTATTTTATTTTTCTTTCTTTCTTTTTTTTTTTTCTTTGCTTAGAAATCTCCTCAGCTAGGGCCAGGAATTTAGCTCAGTGGTTTCGCCACCTGTTGCGCAAGCACAAGGACCCGAGTTTGATCGCCTGTACCAAAAAAAAAAAAAAGAAATCTCCTCAACTAAATACCCAATTTCATTACTTGCAAATTCTACCCCCACAAAACACTAGAAAATGAACATAATTCAGCCAAGGTCTTTGCCACTTTTTAATAAGAATCCTGTATCTAATAACCTGTTCCTCATTTCCATTTAGACCTGGAAACAGCAATGGGCACAGGCAAAAATAAGCCTCTACAAAAGCCAGCTCTCTTATAGCTAAGGCTGGGGAAGGTGCAACCTAGTGAGATAAAATCCTTTTAGGTAGAGACTGTTCCCCTGCAGGCAGACACCAGCGGGCAGCTGTGTCCCAGCCTCTCCCAGGCCAGCATAGGCTGAGCCTCAGCCTCCACACTCCTGGGACTGCCACAGGTGGCCCCGAAACTCCCACTGGGAGCAAGGGTGTGCACCCCACTGACATGCAGGAAAGTGCCCCCGTTCTAGGCGTGGACTGAGGAAGAGCCTGGACTCTCAGCCCCCTGCAGCAGTTAGGAGCCACCTCCTGCAGAGGTGACCCTTGGGGGACTTTGATCATCTGAACTGAGATGGCTGTCCCCAGAGCAGGGCCACCGTAGAGATCCCCTGGGAGCTGGAATTCCCACCCAGCCCCACAGTCATGAGGGGCCTGTCCCCAGGAGGGTGATGGAAGACGAGGGGAACCAGATTTCTACCTTCAACTGACTTGCAGAGCGGCCCCCACCTGCTCTCGACAAACCAGTGTTGTGACATTAAAAGCCAATTAAAACAGGGCCAGGGATTTAGCTCAGTGGTTCCGGCCGTCTGCCTCAAAAGCACAAGGTCCGGAGTTGGATCCCTGGTACCAAAAAAAAAAAAAAGCCAATTAAAACAAAAGGTTTAATACAATCCAGAATCTCCTATCATAATACTCTCATGTCCAAATTTCTATCAAAAATCACTCATAGCCAGGGATTTAGCTCAGTGGTTTTGCCACCTGCTGCAAAAGCGCAAGGACCCGAGTTCGATCCCTGCTACCAAAAATCACTCATAGTACCAAGAATCAGGAAGAACTCAAACTGAATGAAAAAAAAGAGACAATCAATGGATACAAATCCTTCAACAAGCAATAATATGCATGCCCAAAAGTAACAAAAGCATGAAAACCTTGGCAAAGAAAGAAGAGGATATTAGAAAGAAACAAGTGGAAATTTAAGAACTAAAAGAAATTCAGTAATCAAAACACAAAGCTCAGCCAGGCGTGGTGGTGCATGCCTGTGATCCTAGCACTTAGTAGGCTGAGGCAGGAGGATCACTCCTGAGTTCAAGTCCAGCCTGAACTACATAGTGAGACCCTGTCTCAAAAAAAAAAACCAAACAAAAAGACAAAGCTCAGTGAGCAGGTTCAACAGGGAAGTGGAGGGGAAAGAATCATTGAACTTGGAGAGAGAAAAATAGAAATGACAGAGAAGAAATAGGCTGTAAGGAAACTGACAAAACCATGGGGACCAGTGGGACTGTAACAACCAGATGTTTGTGTCCCTGAAGTTCAAGAGAGGAAAAAGAAAAGAATAATTGAATTGCTGAAAACTCCTCGAATTTGGCCAAAGATGTAACCTAGATTCAAGAGTCAAGAAGCTGAGTAAACGTCAAACAGAATACACTCAGAGAAACCCACATCAAGATGCACGTGACTGGCGGGATGCAGGGCATGCACCTGTGCACCCAGCTACTCTTGGGGTGGAGGCAGGAGGTCCCTTGAACCCAGGAATTAGAAGCCAGTCTGGGCAGCATAAGGAGATCCTATCTGAGAAGAAGGAAAAAAATGGCAGACGCAGTGAAGCACACCTGTAATCCCAGCAGTGCTTGGGAGGTTGAGGCGGAGGATGGCAAGTTCGAGTCCCACCTGAGTAATTTAGCAAGACCCTGTCTCAAAGTAAATGGACAAAACCATGGATTCAATCCCCAGTATTTAAAAACAGAGAGATCCAGAGAAAAACAGCACTGTACCTTTGGGGAAAACCAATTTGAATAATAGCAGACTCCATCTCAGAAATCACAAGATAGAAGAAAGTGACAGGAGGATCACCCTGAGTTCCAGGCCAGTCTGGGCCACATAGTGAGTTCAAGGCCAGGCTGAACTACATAGCGAGACCCTGTCTCACAAAACCCACCCCCCGACAAAAAACAAAAAACACACTAGATATCATATCATATCGCATCAGATCCAAGTGCTCTTGTAATTGCAGACATGTGGCAGTTAGTACAGCATAGTGACTAAAACACACAGGCTTTAGGGCCAGTCGCCTGACTGATGGCTGCTTCACCACTCAGTAGCTATGTAAACTTGGCAATTTCTAGGAGGATCAGTGCAAGTTCAAGGCCAGTCTGGGCTCCATCGTGAGTTCAAGGCCTGCCTGAATGACAGCTCCATCAGAACCTCTTTCCTACAGCAGCTGGTCCCTTAGTCCAAGAGTTAGGTGAACGAGACTTTCGGGAAGATGGCAGAGTGGCGAGCAGCAGAGAAGAAAGTGACATAATATTGTTAAATACTAAAATAAAGGCTGTAAACTCAGAACCCTAGACCAGAAGAAATATATTTCAGGAATGAAGGTGAAATGAAGACATTCTCAGAAGAAAGAAAACCAAGGATTTATTGCCAGCAGAGTGTCCTGAGAGAATGGCTCAAAGAAGTTCTTTAAACAGAAAAAAATGATAAGAGAAGGAATCTTAAAATATCAGGAAGGTAGAAAAAAAGGTAAATAAACACGTGGATAAATACAATAGGCTTTCCTATTCCTCTTGAGTATTTTACCCCTTTGGTACTAGGGACTGAATCCAGGGCCTGGAACATTCTAAGAACATACTCTACCTCTCCGGGTGTAGTGGAACCTGCCTATAATCCCAACATTCACGAGGCTGAGGCAGGAGGATCCCTGAAAGTTTGAGGCCAGCTTGGGCTACATATTGAGACTCTGTCTCAAAATTTCAAAACAAACAAACAAACAACAAAACATCAAATCAGAACAAAACAAGAAAATATACTTTATCACTGAGCCATACTATACAGTTGAAGCAAAAATTGTAGCACTATGCAATTCTAAATGTATAAATGGGAAACTAAAGCAATTATATCCTAAATGGGGAGGGTAAGGGTCACAGATAGAAGCAGGTAAAATGACAGCAATAGGCTGTGACCATATACACATACCACCTAGAACAACCGCCCCCAAATGCAGAAAGATGTGTTCCATATCACCACAGATAGAATGGATGCTAAAACATTCCTGAAAATGTTCATATCCCCAAAATTAAAAAATACGAGTCCCTTGGTTCTGGTGCCTGCCTCAAAAGCACAAGGTCCCGAGTTTGATCCCCAGTACCAAAAAAAAAAAAAGATTAGGGGCTGGGGATTTAGCTCAGTGGTTCTGCCACCTGCCTCACAAGTGGAAGGACCCAAGTTCCAGCCCTGGTACCAAAAAAAAAAAAAGATTAGGGGCTGGGGATTTAGCTCAGTGGTTCTGCCACCTGCCTCACAAGTGGAAGGACCCAAGTTCCAGCCCTGGTACCAAAAAAAAAAAAGAAAATGAATGTGATTATTATGTGTATCAAAAGTGTACCAATAAAATTAATTTTAAAAAAGAAGAGAGCCAAGTGTGGTGGGGCATGCCCATAATCCCAGCACTCAGGAGGCTGAGAATCACCGAGAGTTCAAGGCCAGCCTGGGCTACACAGTGAATTCAGGGCCAGCCTGAACTGTATAGTGAGACCTGTTGCAAAAAACAAACAAAAACAGAAACAAAATGGAGGTGGGGCACACCTTCAATCCAGCACTCTGGGAGGCTGAGGCAAGAGGTTTGCAAATTTAAGCCACCTTGGGCAATTTAGAGACTTAGCCAGATCCTATCTCAAAACAGCCAAACAAATAAAAGGCTGGGGGTGTAGCTCAGTGATACAGCACTTGCTTAGCAGGGGTGAGGCCCTGGGTTCAATCCCAAGCACCACCACCATTTAAAAAAAAAAAGGGTCAAGGATCTTTTTGTTGTTGCTTTTTGAGTCAAGGTCTCACTCTGTAACCCAGGCTGGCCTCGATTGGAACTTGCTGAGATCTTCCTGCCTCAGCCTCCCGAGTGCTGGGATCACAGGCATGCACCCCTGCCCTGTAAGAAGTACCTTTCACCTACATTACTCTAAGCACCCTGGCGCCCTGGCTGTTCTCTCTCCTACTCAGTTTCTCTTCCTCCTACTGCAGTGCTGGCTTCCAAAGCAAGGCTGTGCGTGTCACTCCCCAGTCCACTAACTAAACTTGGTCTAGCGGCTGCATCCCATGGCTTCCCACCTGTTCTCTTCCCTGTGGGCCTCCCTTCCCTGGTCTGTCCCCACTGCTCCCCTTCCCTCCTGCCCATTGGCCAGGCTTCTTCTGGGGCACTGGAGATGGAAACCAGGGCGGGGGAAATGCTGTAGCACGGAGCCACAGCCCAGCCTTCCCTTTTAAAATAAATAGTAACCCATTTAATATCTTACTCATTCAGTTAATTATATTCCTCCATATTAATAGCTCCATATGCGAGAAGTTCCTCACTCTTCTCATCCACTGAATGGATAAACTATGTTATTTAACCTATCCCTTTTTTCTCCTAATGGGCATGTAGCTTTGCATGTTCATTTGGGATTCAGATAGATATTATAAATTATCGAGCAGGGGATGGTGGTTCATGCCTGTGATCCTAGCACTCAGGAGGCTGAGGCAGGAGGATTGACACAAGTTTGAGGCCACCCTGGGCTACATAGCGAGACCTTCTCTCAGGAAAAAAAGAAAGGTACCTTCCATAGAAATTGCACCAGGTTCTACTCCTACCTCAATTCGTAAGGGTTCAGGCAGCTGCTGCATCTCTGAGGCTCAAGGTCTTTACCTGCACCATGAGCAAAACATTACTTGTTCTCGGAATCACGTGATTCCTGCAGAACCTGGGTGTGGAGCACACGGCTGTAGGAGCTGAGCTCTCCAGATCTGCACGCTGCTCTACAGAATTTTGAGTAAGTGAGATATTTTCCTCCCCAGGCGATAGGGTCTGACTGGACCTTCCCCCTAGTCTGGGGTTTTCCGGTGAAGACAAGGGCAGTTTCTACAGGAAATCAGCAACTTGAATCAGAAGAGTTGCGGGCACTGCGTGTGCCTGGGTGCCAGGGTCCTGGCAGGGACATTAGCCTCCTCCTGATGGCTTCTACTTGCAGGGAAAACCCATCTGAGGGACCGCATTAACTCTAGAAGTAGCCAGTGGGATCAGGGGTCCTTTCCGCTAATCATCCAGAAGCTGGAGGTGAAAGACTCGGGAACCTACATCTGTGATGTGGCTGCAAAGAAGATGGTGGTGGAGCTGCTGGTGTTCAGATGTGAGTGGGGCTGGCTGGGACGCGGATGCCTCCGGGCAGCCGGAGCCAAGGCTGAGCTGGGGGTGCCAGCTCCCTGGCGCATCAGGCGGGGACAGGAACCTCATGCCCCGGAGGTCTCCTCGGAGACCTTCCTTGGCCATGCAGAGAAGGGAGGAACCAAAGGAAGGAGGAAGAGAGATGGGAAGACAGGAGTGGGGAGAGGAGGGAAGGGAGAAAAGGAGGGGCCAGGAGGGCCCGCCCTGGACTGGGGTGGGCAGCTGGGTGCTGGGAGAAAGGTGACACTGGGACAGGGACGCTGAAGACTCTTGGTTTCCTCTGCCCTCATCCCTGTGGGTGGTGGGTGAGACGGGGTGCCCTGCTCCCTCCACAGTGATCGCCAGCTCGGGCACTCGCCTGCTGCAGGGGCAGACCCTGACCCTGGCCTTGGAGGGCCCCCCAGGTAGCAACCCATCGGTGCAGTTCACTGGCCCGAGCGGTCAAGTCACCAGTGGGAAAAAGGCCATCTCAGTGCCCAAGCTGGGGTTCCAGGACAGCGGCACTTGGAAATGCACCGTCTCCCAGGACCAGAAGCAGCTCCAGTGGGACATAAATGTCTTGGTGCTGGGTAAGAGGGGGCCTGGCTCTGAGTGTCCTGCCTGCTCTGGGGCTGTGGGTGTGGCAGGGACTGGGTCCAGAACTCCTAGGGCTGAGGGCTGACCCAAGCAACAAGCTGGGCTCTCTCCCCAGCAGCTGGCTAGGGCCACTCCTCAGGGCCTCCTTTCTTTGTTGCCTTGGCTCCCCAGGTCTGCCGATTTGGCAAACCCACTTACTCAGGGACACTGCACCCCTACAGCACTGGGCTAGGCACTGTGGGGAGATCGAAAGCCAGGATGCATGCCCAGGTGTGACATAAAGCAGCCCCGGGCAGTGCATGGATTCTGATTTAAATCCTGACTCTGGGCTGGGGATTTAGCTCAGTGGTTTCTCCGCCTGCTGTGCAAGTGCAAGGACCAGAGTTTGATTCTTGGTACCAAAATAAATAAATAAATAAATAAATAAATCCTGACTCTGCCACAACCACGTGGCCTTGCTTTCTGCATCTGACAGTTCCCTCTTGCAGCATCACAGTGACAATTAGTCTCCCAGGTCAGGGCCTGGCACATAGTGAGCCCCTGTAAGTGCTGACTCTTGCCAGGCATGGTGGTACACACCTATAATCCCAGCATTTGGGAGGCTGAGGCGGGAGGATTGCCATGAGTTCAAGGCCAGTCTGGACGACATAGCCAGATTGTAGGCCTGAATGGCTTCTGTGCTTTGGAGGAGGTCTGAGGGGGGAGAGCCACGGCCCCGTCACTGAGCTGTTCCCTGATGGCTCCTGGGAGGAGGTGGGAGCTGCCTGGGAGGGGGCATGTGCTGGGGGCTGCAGAGGTGGGAACTGCAGCACGGGCCCTGTGATGACAGCTCCGCAGTGGGCTCACCTGGTCCCCTCTCTCTGCTGCCCTGGCCACACTGCCCACCCCACCTGCGTCCCCGTGCTCCCCTCTTCCCTCTCTCCCACCTCCAGGTTTTCTGAAGTCACCCAGAACGGCCTACAAGAAGGAGGGGGAGGCGCTGGAGCTGTCCTTCCCACTGACCTTCGACGACGAAGCCCACCTCGGGGAGCTGAGCTGGCGGGCGGATAGGGCTTCCTCCTCTCAGGTCTGGATCAGCTTCTCCGTGGAGAACAGGAAGGTGTCGGTACAAATGGCTGCCCTGGACCCCCAGCTCCAGATGGCAGAGAAGACCCCGCTGCGCCTCATCCTGTCCGAAGCCCTGCTGCAGCATGCTGGCTCCGGAAACCTGACTCTGACCCTGGCCGGGGACCTGAAGCTGCACCAGGAAGTGAACCTGGTGGTGATGAGGGGTGAGAGTCTGGGGCAGGGTGACCACTGAGGCCAGCAGGTCCCCACAGAGGACACCTCAGCCCCAGGTGCCCGGTTGGAATGACCAAGTGCCCTCCAGGTTGGGGGTGTTTGTGTTCTGGTACTGGGATCAGTCCCCAAACTCCCCAAACCTGAGGAGCGGGGTCAGGGCTGCCTCTGCCCAGCTCTGTGATGCTGGCTAAGCGTCCTACCCACTGCGGGCCTGTTTTCTCATTTTTCTCCTAGTAAGGACAAGATGCTTCTAGAATGCTAGAAATGAGGGTAATAGCAAGATCAGCATGAGGTCTTTGGACTATCATCTCTCCTGTCATCTTACCAACTGCACAAACGGTGATGGCTAACACTGGGTACCTCACTGCCTGCTAGTGCCCCCCTTCAGACACTGTACATGAATTTGTGCACTGAATCATTGTCCCTGGCTCTGGTTGTGAAGTGACTTGCCCAGGAACACACAGGCAGTTAAGTAGAGCTGGCTGGGACTCACACCCGAGACCGTTGGTGCCCTTAGGCTGAAGGGTGCAAAGGATCATTCCGATTGTCCCCCCCCGCCCCCCGCACTGAAACGGGAGCCATGGAGGCCAGCTCCAGCTCTCCGCTTCCCCTTCCTCTGCAGTGTCTCAGCACCAGAACTCTCTGGTCTGTGAGGTGCTGGGGCCCACCTCCCCCACCCTGGAGCTGAGTTGGAAGCTGAGCAACCAGAAGCCCCAGGTCTCCGCCAAGAAGAAGCAGGTTCAGGTGTCTTCTCCTGAGACAGGGACATGGTGGTGTCTCCTGAGGGACGGCAACAAGGTCCTGCTGGAATCCGAGGTCGAAGGTGAGGATCCAGGTTGTGAGGCCTCCCTGAGCCGTGGCCTCCTGAGCTGTGGCACCTTCCTGTGGGGAGGCAGAGACCATGGCCCCAGCCTCGCGGTCCTGAGAGGACCGTGAGTTCGGTGGCCTGGAGACACCACATAGTGAGGTGCAGTGTTGGTCCCAGACTACGGACTCCCTCTTTGGCCCTGAGGTCTACAGGCCAGGGACGGGGTCTCCTGGCCAAGAGCTCCACTGCCTGCCACCAGGTGCAGAGACATGGCGGGGGCTCTGGACCCCTGCTCTTCTGGCTCTCCAGGGCCCTCAAGTCGGAACCCTGAGCCCTTCCCAGCCTTGGGCTCCCCATCTCCAAGGGCGTTTGAGAACTCTGTGCACCCTGCTGTCTCCCCAGGCCCTGGGATGGGGCCTGCTCTCCCCTCAGCAGCCCTGAGCCCAACAGCAGGCGGCTCACTGAGCAACCTCTCCCCACAGTTGTGTCCGCAGGGCTGCACCAGGACCAGTCGACGCTCCTGGCTGTTGTGCTGGGCAGCACCACAGGTTTTGTGCTCCTCACTGGGCTCTGCATCTTCTGCTGTGTCAGATGCAGGCACCGGCAGGTAAGTGGGCTTTGCAGGCCCCCGACATGTCCCCAGCCGGGCCTTGGAGCACCCCGGCCCCAGTCCCCTCATTGCAGACCGGGTCACTCCTCAAAGAGGCCCAGGCAGGAAGGAGCAGTCAATCCCAGGGCGGACGGCTTCAGCCACAGTGCTGCTGTTCCTCTCCCAGCCCCCCACTGCCCCCCAGGCACCTCCTTTCTGGAGGTCGAGGGCCCTCACAACTCCCCTCCTTGTTCCTGGATAGCGCCGGGCAGCACGGATGTCTCAGATCAAGAGGCTCCTCAGTGAGAAGAAGACCTGCCAGTGTCCCCAGTAAGGACCGGAGGGGAGAGGAGCATGGGGAGAGGAGAGGCATTGAGAAGAGGGGTCCAGAAGGAGGGAGGCGGGGTGAAGGCCAGGGGAGCTGTTGGAGAGGCAGGAGGCTGGAGGGACAGCAGGCCCGGAGCCTCTGTGGTGGGTGCTGGGAAGACCACTGCTGCCCCGGGGATGAGAGCTGGTCTGGGTGCCCCGAGGTCCCAGGTTCGGATGCTGAGGGGCTGGGAATGGACTTGCTCCCCTCTGTCTCCTTCACTGCAGCCGGCTGCAGAAGACTCGGAATATCACTTGAGGCCTTGAGGTGTCCCCCGCTGTCTGCCCTGTGTCTCCTGTGGGGCGTGCTGACAAGATGAATGTAGCAGAGCCCAGTGCCTCTGGCCCCCTTCTCTTCTCCTGCTCCACCATCGCCACTGTTGCTCCTCTGCTCGCAGCCTGACTGAGAGCTTAAGCACACCGTTCATTCTCAGCAGCTTCTCCCATTTCCCTCTCCCTGAGCCCTGAGCCTCTCCCCAGAGTCCACACAGTGACCAGGCCCCACCGCTCCCCTGGAAACACAGCAGGGGCCTCTCAGTTTGTAGGACAGGACCCTGTGACCAGAGAGAGCAGGGACCTGCCGAAGGTCATACAGCCAGTCAAGGACAGAGGCAGACCGAAGGCCCCTGAGGCCAGCCCCGCTGCCCCATGCTGTCTGCTGTCACCCTGTGTTGGCAGGACCACCACCTGCCATCCTGACCAATGCACAGCAGGCCCCATGAACACACACCCACGTACGCAGCCACATACTTGCCCTTGTGCACAATTTCTTATCACCTCAGCAGCGTAGCTGTTTATAAACCAGTTCACATCCTCTGTCTATTTTGTCCTTTATGAAAATCCTAGCCAGGCATGGTGGCGCACACCTATGGTCCCCATACCTGGGAGGCTGAGACAGGAGTATCGCTGTGAGCTCAAGGCCAGCCTGAAGTACATAGTAAGACCCTGTCTTGGGCTGGGGATTTAGCTCAGTGGTTCTGCCTCCTGCCTCCCAAGCGCAAGGACCAGAGTTCGATCCCTGGTACCAAAAAAAAAAAAGACCCTGTCTTAAAAAACAAAACAATCCTACAAGGCTGGTGGTGACAGGACCAAGATTATCATCTCTAGTTTATGAACTAGAACTGGAATGCAGAGAAGCTGGATGTCTAGCTGGGGTCACACAGACAGCCAGGGCTGGAGTTGGGGTGAATCCAGGTGCTCTGACCCCGACGGCTGCCTGCCCACACAGGGACAAGCACCACGCAGGTGTCTGCAGGATTGGTTACCGGTGCCCAGGACACCCCGGGTCCACAGCAGCACCCAGCCCCGCTGGTGGGGGCTGTCCCTGAGGAGTTCGGGGGCCTCCTTACCCTGAACCCCTCCTTCACCCCTGCTGTGGGCAGTGCAGGAAGCCTTCAGTGCTCTCCAGGCACAGGCTGGGAGCAGAGCCCGGGGGAGAATCTCAGGGAGCCACTCTCCCTGCAGAACCTTCTGAAAGGTGAGCTTGGCCAGGAAGTTAGCCTGGGGCCGAGCCCTATGAGGGGACCCCATAAAGGTCCCAGTCCCCAGCCCTACAACCTCCACCCTCCCCAAAGCCTTCAGGACGCTGGGAAATCTCAGGAACAGGGAAATTGAGGTTGTCTTCCTCCTCTTCTTGGTCCATTTCCTTCAGGATCCCCAGCCACTTCTGCCTCTCTCGTTCTTCCCTTTCTTACCACCCCCCTCAGGCCCGCCTGCTCCCCACTTTTCCTTTGACCCCTTTCTTCCCAACTTGGCTCTTCCAGAAAGACCATCCAAGTGCTGCCAGCTCCGCCGCCTGCTTCCTTGGGCTAAAGGAAAAGTATAATAAACGTCCTATGAAGATGCTGTGTGCGTGTGCGTGTGCGTGTGCGTGTGTGTGTGTGTGTGTGTGTGTGTGCGCGCGCGCCCGCGCGCGCGTGTACGTGCGTACACGCATGAGCCCACACCCTTTAGTCTTGTACAGCCGCCCCCAACCCTAGCTTTGCACCCCAGGGCTCCAGCCCGCCTCCAGCCCAGGCCGCCAGGAGCTGTCCCCAGGCACAGCCCTGGCACGGAGGCGCTGGGTAACACACGCCGGCTCCTTCCTCCCAGGGACCAGCCCCGTCCCGACGACGCCAGCTGGCTGCGGGCTGGGGGCGGGACACCGCCGCGCCGCGTCCCCGCCCCCGCCCCCCGCGCCCCTCCCCCGCGCGCCCCTCCCCCGCGCGCCATCCAGCGTTCCCGCCCCCCAGCCCCCGCCGGCGGGGTCCCGGGTCCCCAACTCGTGCGCCCCAGCCGAGGTCCGGGAGGCAGGAGCCGGCGGGGCCTGGCGGGCCGGGCGGGCCGGGCGGAGCGGGCGGGGCGGCGGGCTGAGCCCGAGGCCGGCTGGGGGAGGGAGCGAGGGAGCCGGAGCGGAGCAGACGCCGGAGCCGGGCGGAGCGTCGGGCCCGCCAGCCGGGCCGCAGGTAAGGACCCCCGCCCGGCCGCCCGCGGTCTGCCCCGAGCGCGGCGCGGCGGCGCCGGAGGGAGGAGCCGCCCGACCTCACCTGCGCGCCGGCCCTGGCCCCTTCCTTCCCCCTCTGTCCTTCACCCCTCTCTGTCCTTCACGAAGCCTGCCCGCCTGCTCCCTCTCCGGCTCGCGTCTCTTCTTCCCGAGCCCACCGCTGGGCCAGGCAGTGGGTGAGAAGGGGTCGCGCGCGAGAGGGGAGGGGAGCGGGGGGGAGGGCTCCTGACCAACTCCCTCCACCTCATGCTGGCCATTGCCATGGCAACCAGGGTGTGCTGGGCCCCCGAGGAGGACAAAGCGGGGGCTAGGACCTCCTGGGGAGCGCAGGGGTCTGTGGTTCTTCCACCGGAGTAGACCCTGGCACCGCTGTGCCCCATTTTCACCCCATTTGCCCTGGAATCATTATGCCCGTCCTCACAGCCTCTGCTTCAAGGGCTCACCCCCTTTCCTCTTAGCGTCCTCCCCAGGGCTCCCTGCAGCTCAGCGTCATTAAGATCAGGACTGTCGTGAGGGAAACTGAGGCTGTGGGCCGGGATGGGGCACTCAGAGTCTCCCGGGAGGGAGTCAGCACCTCAGGGACCTGGGGGCTTTTCTTTTTCGCCTCCCTGTCTCCCCTCCCACCTCCACCCTGCCCCTCCTCCCTCCTCCCTCCAAGGCCTCTTCTGGGGCTCCTTAGTGTTCCTTCTATTTTCAGATACTACCACTTTGCCCCCTCTTTCTCTTCTGCCAAACTCTCCTCCTTCTCCTAGTTCCCCCTCTTTCCATTTCTGGATGCTTCTGATGTCAGTGGTTTCCCCGCCTTCGGGCTCCCTGGGCCCCCCTTCGGTCTCAGCCTCTTTTCTCCCATTTCCCCAGATCCCTGGGGAGCTGGTGGGTGATCAGCCAGGCTTGGGTAAATGCAACTGGGCACCAAGACCACCAGGCCCGGAAGACTGACAGGTAGGGGAGGCAGTTGGCTGCGAACCCCAAGGAGACACCAGGCCTGTGTCTCTCGTGAGGTTTAGGGATGTGAAGTTGGGGGATCTTACAAGGAAGGGCCTGGGGTTCCAGAGTGGGGAAGAAGGGCCACCAGGGGACGGGAGACAGGGAGGTAAGAATATCTTTCTTCTCTAGCAGTCTGGAATCAGGGCCACTTATCTGTGTGGGGTGCTTGAGTGGCTGTCTGATTAAGTTGGGAAAACTCTGAAAGACCCCCATAGCCCTAGCAATCATTTCAATAGTTTTGGAAGGAGAGCCAGCTAGAGACCAGTCTAGGCTCAGCTTTTGCCCCCCACCCCCCACCCCATCTCATCTTCCCTTTGCAGCTGGTCCAGGTGGCTGAGCCCACCTCCAAATTCCTTGGGCCATCCAGAAGATTCCCTGCCTGGTCAAGAACCCAAGGAGACAGACCTGCAAGCCCTGGCCACTCTCGTGGTTGGGAAAGCAGCCAGCTGGCCTCCCCCATCTACTCCAGGGACACTTAGGGAAGAGCCCCACCCGGCCCAGAGGCTGAGGACCACAGCTGCTGCCCCACAGCCTCCACCTGGCCCTGTGCACTGGGCCTTAGCTGGGTTGGTCATTCGATGCTGAGCAGGAGGGTGGGCCTGGGGCAGCCTGACTGAGCACAGGGCAAGGATCGTGGGCATCATGGGGGTGTATGTAAGTGGGGCTCCTGGGTAAGACCTAGCCCCCGCCCCCAGAGCTCCAAGGGGGTGGGGGGCTGAGGATAGGATGGCTCGGGGTGGGCTGGGGGCAGAAGAGGCCTCCCTACGCTCCAGTGCGTTGTCCTGGCTGGCCTGTGGGCTCCTGGCACTGCTGGCCAATGCCTGGATCATCCTTAGCATCTCGGCCAAGCAGCAGAAGCACAAGCCACTGGAGCTGCTGCTCTGCTTCCTGGCGGGCACACACATCCTCATGGCAGCCGTCCCCCTCACCACGTTCGCTGTGGTGCAGCTGCGGCGCCAGGCTTCCTCTGACTATGACTGGAATGAAAGCATCTGCAAGGTGTTTGTGTCCACCTACTACACGCTGGCCCTGGCCACCTGCTTCACTGTTGCCTCACTCTCCTACCATCGCATGTGGATGGTGCGCTGGCCTGTCAACTACCGCCTCAGCAATGCCAAGAAGCAGGCGCTGCATGCTGTCATGGGCATCTGGATGGTCAGCTTCATCCTCTCCACCCTGCCTTCCATCGGCTGGCACAACAATGGAGAGCGCTACTATGCCCGAGGCTGCCAGTTCATAGTCTCCAAGATTGGCCTTGGCTTTGGTGTCTGCTTCAGCCTCCTGTTACTTGGGGGCATTGTCATGGGGCTGGTTTGTGTGGGCATCACTTTCTACCAGACACTGTGGGCCCGGCCCCGGAGAGCTCGGCAGGCCCGGAGAGCGGGGGGCAATGGCAGAGCCAAGGTGGGTGGGCCGGGGGGCTTTAGTGCCCGGCCAGCTTTTGAGGTGCCGGCCATTGTGGTGGAGGATACCCGGGGGAAGCGACGGTCTTCGCTGGATGGCTCTGAGTCTGCCAAGACGTCACTACAAGTCACCAACTTGGTCAGCGCCATCGTCTTTCTCTACGACTCACTCACAGGGGTGCCCATCTTGGTGAGACTGGGGTCCCCCTGCTGCTCTCCCTAACAGCCAGCTCCTTGCATCGCCATCTGACCTTTAGCCCCACCAGCCATGCAGCGTCTCCCCACCTTCCTCCAGCTCCGTCACCCACCTTCTGTTCCCCTGCCCACCCAGTCCCTCCACTTTCCACTCCACCCTCTGCCTTTCGGTTCCCACTGTCCAGCGCCAACCCCTTCTGTTCCACTGCCCGTCCTCCAGCCCTGTCATCAGCCTCCAGCTCCACCATCAGCCTGGTGCCCTGGCGCCCACGACATGCTCCTTTTCCTAATTCCCCAGATGCAGCTGTCTCAGTGTTCCGGGTGGAAACTGCACGGGGCTCCCCCCGCCCCACAGTGCCCCTATTCCTGGATTTCTCTGTCTTCATTTCCGTTGTCTCAGCACTGTCCCATGGCCTTCCCCTCCGTCACACCCTACCGACCCCCTTCCAGCTCCTCTTCTGTCCTGAGGGCCGAGGCCTGTCATCCCTTCCCCACCAGGGGTGGCTTGGGGCCTGACTGGCCACTCGCTGTCCTCCACCAGGTAGTCAGCTTCTTCTCCCTGAAGTCGGACTCGGCGCCCCCGTGGATGGTGCTGGCCGTGCTGTGGTGCTCCATGGCACAGACGCTGCTGCTGCCCTCCTTCATCTGGTCCTGCGAACGCTACCGAGCCGACGTGCGCACGGTGTGGGAGCAGTGTGTGGCTATCATGTCCGAGGAGGATGGCGATGACGGTCAGAGAAGGGACTGGGCTTTGCCTCTCCTGGACCTTGGTCTACTCTGCCCTGTCCACCACTCCTCCGTGAGGAGCTGCAGTGCCCCCTGCTGGATGGAGCTTGCGCTCCTGGGCTCCCCCTGGGCTGCCCACTCAGGGCTCCCTTCTGCCCCAGGGGTTCCCTGCCCATGGCCTGGGCTCCCCTGGAAGCCCGCAGGCCCAGCTCTGGGCCCCACCGGGCAAGTGCCTGGAAACCAGTCCCCAGGTGTAATGCAAAGAAGGCTGTGGCACTGAAGGGAAGCTGAGCTTCCTGAGAGGCCCCAGCCCCAGAGACAGTTCTTGGAGGCCAGCAGGAACTGTGTCCACGAGCAGGTCTGTGTGTATGAAGGAAGCACCAGGGCCTCAGCACTGAGTGCCACAGATGCCAGCCAACCTGAGTTCTCTTGGAGCTTCCAGACCCAGGGAACTGACAGGCTCTATGAGAGCCCAGAAAGGGGTGGCGTGGGGTGCTGTTGTCTCCCTGTGATCGCTCTGCCCTGTCTCTCACAGATGCGGGCTGTGACAACTACACAGAGGGCCGAGTCTGCAAAGTTCGCTTTGATGCTAACGGAGCCACAGGGCCAGGGGGCAGGGACCCCACCCAGGTGAAGCTGCTGCCTGGCCGGCACATGCTCTTCCCTCCCCTTGAGAGAGTGCACTACTTACAGGTACGGAGAAGCAACCCCGTCCTGGTCCCCAAACTCTTCTCCAAGCCCCGTGAGCTCACCCGGTGCCCTAGCTGGGCCTGCAGGGCACCCTGGGGCAGGTGAAGGAGAGGCGTAGGAAGAGAGGCTCCCCAGTCCTCTCAGGACCAGGGCTGCCCACCAGAGCAAAGGTCTAGAAGCTGAAGAGGGTGGAGCCGTCCTGCAGTCCCTACTTGGTTCCGGCCTCCTCTTCCTTTGTCCCTGCCGCACCTCCAGGTCTCACTTCTCTTCCCAGGTCCCTTTGTCGCGCCGCCTGTCCCATGACGAGACCAACATCTTCTCTAATCCCCGGGCAACCGGCTCCTTCCTGCACAAGTGGTCATCCTCTGACGACATCCGGGTCCTCCCATCCCACAGCCGGGCCCTTGAGGATCCTGAGTACCTGGGACAGACACACCGGGTGGAGGACGAAGAGGAAGAGGAGGCTGAAGGTGGGGGGCTGGCCAGCCTTCGCCAGTTCCTGGAAAGCGGGGTTCTGGGATCAGGTGCAGGACCCCCACGGGGTCCTGGCTTTTTCCGGGAGGAGATCACCACCTTCATCGATGAGACACCTCTGCCTTCTCCAGCTGCCTCTCCGGGACCCTCTCCACGAAGGCCCCGGCCGCAGGGTCTGTCACCCCGCCGCCTCTCTCTGGGGTCCCCTGACAACAGAGCCATTGGACTTCCTCTGGGGATAAGCGCAGGGCGACGTTGTTCCCTGACAGGTAGTGAAGGCAGTGCTAGGGCCTGGGGAAGACCCTGGGGCCCAGGCACCCCAATTTTCCCCCAGCTGACCCTGTGAGCCAGGCAGGGCCAGGTGAGGACACAGATCTGGCCCTGAGCCCAAGGCCACTACCCTCAGATTCAGGGAGACGGGCAGCTAGATCCGGAGCTCCAGGGCCCCTGCTTGGGCCCGTCCACGTGGCTAGGTGCCCTGCTCACCCTCTGTCATCCCTACCGAAATGTATTAAAGTCTGAGTGTTGCCATAGAAATCTGTCCCTGTGGTAGTGGCAAAGGGCATGGTGAGAGACTGACACGAGTGGCTCATGGAGGGTGGAACAGAGCAGGGGCGGGGACCACGGCAGCAGGAGACACACGGGAAACATCACGCAGCCGGCAGACACAGCAGAGATGGGCTTGGAACGAGGGGCACAGGGACCGGGCGCCGGCCCAGAGTGTGAAGGGTCTGCTCAGCTTTCGGAGGAGGCTCTGGAGTGTGGTTTTGTCACCAACGCCCGAAGCTCCTGTTTTCCCCCAAATCCACCAGGGCCTCTTTTCTGGGCAGTAAGGTCCAGGGGCCTGGCTTGGGGTCCCAGGCCTGGGGTTCCTCCTTCAGCTCCTACGGGGCGGGTGGTAGACACGCGTGTGACAGAGGCGCCCACATGCCTCTCCCTGGGCCCAAGAACGGAGGGGCGTCCAGCCCCGGGGACCCCTACACCGCGAGGCTCTTGGGCCACACTGGCCCCACTGGAGCTCACGGCCGGTTCATGCGCGCCCTGCTGCCCCCTGTCCGTCTCCACGCTGCCCCCCACCCCTCCCCGCCCCCTCGCCCGTCCCTTCTCTTCCTCTCCCTCCGCCCCTCGCTGCGCCCTCCCCTTCCTCCGGCCTGCGGCCCCCAGTTCCCTCGGGCAGCCCAGGCACCATGCTCCGGCTCCTCCGGCCGCTGCTGCTGCTGCTGCTGCTGCTGTTGCTCCTGCTGCCACCGCCCGGGTCCGCCGACCCCCCGGGGCTGACCCCGCTGTTCCCGGGGGCGCCGCCCCAGCCCCCCGACTTGCTCTACGCCGACGGGCTGCGCGCCTACTCGGCCGGGGCTTGGGCGCCCGCCGTGGCGCTGCTCCGGGAGGCGCTGCGGAGCCGGGCGGCGCTGGGCCGCGCGCGGCAGGACTGCGGCGCGAGCTGCGCGGCACACCCCGGCGCCCCCGAGCCCGACCCCGCGCCCCCCGGGCCCTGGCCGCAGGCCGGGGAGCCGCCGCTGCTCCGCGCTGTGTTCCGCCGCGCCGAGTGCCTGGCGCAGTGCGCGGCGCGGGCGCTGGGCCCCGGGGGCGCTGCGCGGCTCCGCGTGGGGCGCGCGGTGCGGGACGCCTTCCGCCGGCGGGAGCCCTACAACTACCTGCAGAGGGCCTACTACCAGGTGCGGGGCCGAGGCCGCAGCCCTGCCGCCGCCGCGCTGTCCTTCGAGTGGAGCGGCCCGGCAGAGGGCGGGGTGGGGCCAGAGCGAAGATGGAGGGCTTTGGTTTAGTGGTTTTGTTCTTTTGGTTTTGACAGGGACTCGCTCTATAATTCAGGCAGGCTTTGAATTCATTATGTAGCCCAGGCTGGCCTCTAATTCTCGGCGGTCCCCCTGCCTCAGCCTCCCTGCGCCGCCCCGCCCCGCCAGGCGGTTTACTGGGTTTTCCTGAGGCCCGGGCGGCGTGAGCGCTGCCTCTTCTCGGGAGTGGGACGGAATGGGCATTTGTGAGTGTTGCGGGGTCTTCGGGAAGGTGGGAGCGGCGAGGCCTCCACCGAGGCTGGCCTCTGGCGCCCGAGGCCTACGTGGCCGGGAATCGGGCGCTGGGTACACACACCTCAGCGCAGGGTCCTAGAGACCGCGGCTTTGGATGACCTGGGTTCCTCCGCCCCACTTCGCGGTCTGTCTCCCTGCGCCCCTCCGACCGCGTCCCACCCACTCCAGGTTTCGGGACCCCTGTCCTTTGCACCAGGCTCCTGAGAGGCTCACGGCCTGGCTTCTAGGGGACTCTGCAGAGGGAGATGGGTCGGGGCAGAAGTCTGCACCCACCCCCGCCGGCTCTGACGCCCTGTCCTCGGCCCCTCAGTTGAAGAAGCGGGAGCAGGCGGCAGCCGCAGCACACACCTTCTTCATGGCGAACCCCACGCATCTGCAGATGCGGGAGGACATGGCCAAGTACAGACGAATGTCGGGGGTTCGGCCCCAGAGCTTCCGGGACCTGGAGACGCCCCCATACTGGGTGAGACCTCAGCAGCACCTGCCTGGCCCCACCTCCGGAGACAGCTGGGTGTGCTGTCTCTGCCTGAGGGCCGAGGGCTGAGGGAGAGGGAGAGCTGGCCCCTGGTCCTTGGGGTCGCCAAAGCCCCGTGCTCACACTTCCTGATTCTCAGGCCTTGAGGGTTCTTCCCAAGTCTCAGAACACGGGGGGCCCAAGCCCCAAACAAGGCCAACCCTGCCGTGTCCTGCCCTCCACCCAGGCTTGTCCCCCGTCTGTCAGATGATGCAGTGCTCCCCAACACTTCCTTCCTCCCCAACAGACCAACTACGACACCGGCCTGGAGCTCCTGGGCCACCAGGAGGTGGGACTGGCACTGCCCAGGCTGGAAGAGGCCCTGCAGGGGAGCCTGGCTCAGGTGGAGAGCTGCCGGGCTGCCTGCGAGGGCCCTGAGGAGCAGGAGGCAGAGGAGGAGGAGGAGGAGGAGGAAGAGGAGGAGGAGGAAGGGGCCGGGGGCCAGGGCGGCCTCTAGGAGGCCATCGCAGGTGAGGGGGGAGCCTCGGAGGGGGAGGGGCCGGGTGCAGTGTGCACAGCCCCACGCCTGCCCCGTGCCCTCAGCAGGACGCTGGATTCGGGTCCTGCGGTGCCGACAGCGCTGTGTGACCGATGTGGCCACGCGTCCTGGTCGCAGCCTGCCTGTGCCCGACTTCTTCCCTAGCCAGCTGAGGCGATTGCACAAGGCCCATGCTCAGGGTTAGTTGGGGCAGGGTGGGCGTGGGCGTGGGGGTGACTGGGCCGGCCTGTGGGGGTCTCCTGAGCCCCTCTCTGTCTCCGGATCTGTAGTTCACGGTCCGGGCCCCTGGGGACCGTCACTGCAGGAGGAGGACGCTTAGTTTGCTCCCCTTCTTTGGTGCATTGTGAAAAGCTCGGGAGATGGGTCCATCTTGGGGCTCCTTCTGCCCTTGCTGCCTGTCACCCTCCTTTACTTCCTCCTCTCCCCCTGTCCTCTGGCCTCTGCTGGTGAAGGTATGTCTGAGTACGCTTGGCGAAGGGGCAAGGGATGGGCACTCCTCAGGCCAGCGGGGGCTCCGAGTCTGCTGGCTGGGCTGGGTGATGGCGTTCCCCAGCTCTGCCTTCCTCCAGCGTCTGCCTCTGTCCCCTCCCCTTCCCTCCGTCTCCAGGGGGGAATCTGTCTCGAGCTGTGGAAAGTGCTCTGGGCGTCCTGCTCTTCTACCCGGAGGACGAGGCCGCCCAGCAGGCGCTGACGCAGTGCCAGGCCCAGCTGGGGGAGCAGGGGCTGCACCTCAGACCGAGAGAGGTAGCGCTGGCCCCCGAGGGAGCTGGGTCAGGCAGATGCGGCTGAGAAGTAACCTGGACGCCCCTGTTCTGGCCTCTCACCCAATGGTCCAGCCAGCGTGGGGAACGCCGGGTCCACCCTCTGACTTTGCTTAGGTCCCTGCTCCCCATGGAGTCAAACCCCAGCCCCGCTCTTCCCTCCACTTCACTCTCGCCTGCCCCCACCTTGTAGTTACGTGCACGCATGCACGCACACTCTCACGCTTTCCTGCTCCCCCAGTTTGAGCCCAGAGCCGAGGGCTGCAGGGAAGGCCTGGAACCGGGGTCCCCTGCCCTCCTCCAGGCTTCCCTTCTCCTTGGCCCCCCCTGCTCCCACCCGCCCCTCAGGACATCCAGCGCTTCCTGCTTCGGTCCCTGGGGGAGAAGAGGCAGCTGTTCTATGCCATGGAGCACCTGGGCACCCACTTCAAGGACCCTGTGAGTGGCTTCCCTGCTGTGCCAGGGGAGGTGAGGCAGCAGTGCCTAGTCCGTGTCACTCCAGCTCAGCAAGCCTCCCCTTCCCCAGCCCAGGAGGCTTAGAGAAGCTGTCACCTTGGCCTCCCAGGCTCTGAGGCAGTGGGGCTGTCATTCATGGTGGCTTTGGGACCATTCAGGCCGAGTCAGTCCTCTGGCATGAAGGGTCCTGACCTTATCTCGCCCCCACCTCAGTTTCCTTACTTGTTCATCACAGTAATTACACCTGTTCCGCGGGGGCTGCTGAAGAATGAGGGTGCGAGGGTGGTCCTGGGAATTCAACTCAAGCCTTTAAACTGAGCTATGCTTCTAGGCCCCTTTTTATTTTTTACTTTGAGACTTGCTAAGTCACCAAGTTGCCCAGGCTGGGCTGGAACTCATGATCTTCCTGCCTCAGCCTCTCAGAGTGCTGGAGTTGCAGGCCTGTGCCACTGCACCTGGCTGAAGCTGTGTCACAAAGTGCTATTCTGGCACCTTTGTTACCCTCCCTGTGGTCACAAGGGAAGGCCAGAGCTTTCCCGAGCTCGTGCGCTAGCATGCAGCAGTGATTCTCTACTGACGTTTGAGGGCTGGGGATGCAGCTGGGCAAGGGAGCCCTTGCCCAGCATGTGCAGGGCCTTGGGTTTGACCCCCAGCACTGCATGCATGTATGTGTACAGGCATGCGCGTGACAGATATTTTGGACCCAGTAATTCTTTGCTGGGGGAGGAAAGAGGGCCGGTTGTAGAATGCTCAGCAATTTCCGTGGTTCCATTCAGTAGATGTCAACAGCACACTGATAGCCCCGAGTGGTGAGTCAGTAGTGTTTCTAGACATCACCTAATGTCCCCTGGCCAAGAGCCGAGGGACAAAACCAAGGGCAGTGAGGCGAGTTTGGATCTCACCCTGTCTCTTCCTAGCTGTGTGATCTTGGGCTCGGTACTTGCCCTCTCTGTCTCAGGACTGTCAGCTACAAATGAACCCATTAACTGTTTCCTAAGACCCTTGCAAACTCGAAATGTGAAACTCCCCTTCCTTGTGTAAAGCTCATAGACTAGCACCTGACAACCAGTAAGTGCCAAGCAAGAGGTTGTCCAGCTGCCTCCCTGGTATTGGGCCTGGGACCGTTCCCTGTCTCTGCCTCCCCCCCAGAAGCAGGAGGACTCAGTTTGGTGTTCAGAGTCTAATGTGGGGGTCCCGGCGCTGGACTGGTGGTTGATGGACTTCTTTTGGTGGTCACAGGATCCCTGGACCCCAGAAGGTCTCATCCCTGAGGAGCTAAGGGCAAAGCTCAGGTAGGGGATGCCCTGAGGTGGGGGAAGGGGCTGGGCATGCTGTGCTGTGCTGTGCAGTGCTGTGCACCCACTGAGCTTGTCTGCACTCGAGAGAGGATCAGGAACAGAGGCCTTGGGACCACGAGCCTGCAGAGCCGCAGCCCTGGACCCACTGGAAGGGTGAGCTCCTGGGGTGAGCCTGGAGGTCTGGGGCCATCTGCCCGCTGGGCCTGGCTTTGAGGGTCCCTGGACGGTCCTGTCACTTCTCCTGCAGATGTCCTCCCCCTGGAGGGGGTGACCCTGACCCAGGATGCTAGGCAGCTGAATGGGTCGGAGAGAGCGGTGCTGGACGGGCTGCTGACGCCGGCTGAGTGTGGGACGCTGCTGCAGCTGGCCCAGGTGCACAGGCTGAGGGCGGCAGCGCTGTGGCCTGCTCCGTGGGTGTGCCTGGCCATGGCCCTGCTCAGCATCCCCATTCTACACTGGGGGCCCTGGGATCCTCCATTGTCTAGCGCCACCCCTTAGCTTAGCTGGCTCGGGTGGATGTTCTTTTTTTTTTTTTTTTTTACTGGGGATCGAACTTGGATCCTTCCGCTTGCAAGGCAGGCGGCGGAACCACTGAGCTAAATCCCTGGCCCCAGGTGGATGTTCTTTACGGAGAAAGTTTGCTGGGAGTTGATAGGAAGAACAAAAGAAAGCCACAGAGGCATAGAAACAGCTGAGGGGGCGGGGGTGCAGGCCCTGGGTTAGCGGAGTTGAGTCGGCGTGGGCATGTGCAGGCCTCTCTCCCCTCCCTGCGTCCCCTCCTGGTTCCTGAAGCTTTGGTCCTGTTCTAGCCTCCTACTCCTTCAGCAGTGCTCTGAGGCCCTGCCGTGTATAGGAACTGCCAGGTTCCCGGGGAGGGGGCACAAATGCTGCCTCGGCAGGGAGCAGCTCATTTGATACAGCACGCAGCTCATTGGATAAAGGAGTGTGTATTCATCCCGACTGGACTGAATGCAGAGTCCTTGGGGCTTAGCAAAGGGGTGGCCTGCAAGCTCAGACCTAACCCAGTCGTAACCTGGCAGATGGCCACAGTGGCGTGTGCCTGTAGTCCTACTACCCAGGAGGCTGAGGCAGGTGGATCACTTGAGCCCAGGAGCTCGAGAGCAGCCTGGGCAACATGGTGAGACCCCCATTTCAAAAAAGTGTTCGGGGATGAGCCAGGGTGAGCCTCAGTAGTAGAGTGCTTGCCTGTGCAAGGCCCTGGTTTGATCGCCAGTAGTACAAAGAGGAGAGGAAGTCAGAGAGGTAGAAGGAAGCAGGTGCATTCTGGGAACTGCAGTAGAGCACCAGAGAAGTTTGTTGTGGTGTATTGAGACAGGGTCTCTCTATGCAGTTCAGGCTGGCCTCGAACTCACGGCCATCCTCCTGCCTCAGCCTCGCCAGTCCAGGCATGCACCACCACACCTGGCTTCTCCAGGGAAGTTTATTTAGGCCCCTCAGACCAGTTTCCTATCTGTGGGAAAAATGGTGTGTGAGGATTCTGTCTGTGAATGCGCACAGTGAAGCTCTCACCAGAGGGAGAGAGCCCAGGCAGGTGCTGGAGAGCCCCTCTGCCCCTCCAAGGCGTGTGGGATGTGCTGTGGACGGTGGCCGCAGCTGCAGGATTTAGGTGACTTGATTCCTGCCGGACCGCCAGTGCGTCTTGTAGGGGCGGTCGCTCCCTCTAGCGGCGGAGTGCAGAATGCAATGGGAGAGGAAACGGGAGCCCTGGAGTGGTTCCAACCGGCAGGCCGCTCCAGCGGAACAGAGGAGAAATGCACAGAAAATCAAAGATAAGCTGGGCGTGGCGGCCGGCGCAAGCCTGCAATCCCACTGCTTGGAAGGCCGAGGCAGAAGGAACACGAGTTTCAGGCCAGTCTGGGCAACATAGTGTGTTTTAAGCTAGCCTAGACTGCTAGTGAGGCCGTGTCTAAGGACGGAAAAAGGATGGATAAGCTGAGGTGGAAGATGATGAGCGAGAGGCACTGGTAGCTCCCAAATGTCAGACTTCTCTCTGCTCCTTCCAGCCTCCGCACCTTTGCCCTTGCTGTTCCCCTGACCAGCAGTGGTTACGGTTTCTGTGTTGCTTCTGCAGTTAGCTGTCCCCGGCCGCTGCCCGGGCACTTCAAGGTGTTTTAATTAGCTTCACCTCACTCATCGCCATGGGAATTGGTCTGATTTGTTTATTTACTTATTTTTATTACTTCAAAATATAAACCCCAGGTAGGTGCTGTGGCGCATGCCTGTAAACTTGGCTACTCAAGAGGCTGAGACAGGAGGATCATAAGTTCCAGGCCAGCCGGGGCAATTTAGCAAAACCCTGTCGCAAAATAAAAAAAAAGAAAAGGGCTGGGGATATAGCTCAGTGGCAAAGCCACCCCTGGCTTCCGTCTAGTGCCACTAAATAAATAAACAAATAAATAAAAATCCACTAAAAGCAGGGACCTTTCCTCCATGTTTGTGTTCCTGATTCCTAGAAGAGTGCTGGGCTTGTAGCAGGTGATCAGCACAGATGTGCTGGATGGATCCAAATAAGAATAGAAGGTTTGGGGACCGGAATTTAGCTCAGTGGTTCCGGCACCTGCCATCATGCAAACACAAGGTCCAGAGTTCGATCCCAGGTACCGGAAAAAAAAAGAAAATAGAAGGTTTGTGCAGGGGATGTGACTCAGTGGGAGACCCTTGCCTGGCCTCCTCCCCAGCATAAATAAAGATGAGATGGCTTGGGTGAAGCAGTGGGGTCTTAGAGATGAAGTCTGTGTGTGGAGCACTGAGGCAGTGGTATTTAAACGAGATTTGAAAATTGACAGAAAAATGGATGTCAGAAAAGGGAAGGGCCCCGGCTGCAGACACCCTGAATAGTGGGAAACCCCGAGGTGAGAGCATTGTTGTGCAGATTCTCGGTGGTTAGGACTCAGCCCCAGGAGGCCACGGGGTCCCCAGAACCTATGCAGTCAGCTTCCTGCCCTGCCTTTCAGGTTTCCTGTGGGGGGTCCTCTTTCCAGAGACTCCTGCTCTGGCTCCTGAGGGATGAGGGATGAGTGACGAGCCCTTCCAGTCCCCACCCCGCCCTGTCCCTGCTCTGGCCGAGGCCCCTTCCCTGAGCTCTGTCCCCACACTGTGCTCTTGGTGAGGGGGATCCAGGCCCTTCCCGAGAAGGATAGTGCAGGCAGCTGTCATTCTCTGGGAAAGGCCTATGGCTCGGACTCAGGAATGGGAGCCACAAGGGAACTATGGGAGCTTCCAGCCTCTTCCAGGCAGTGGGAAGGCTGAAGGAGGGCCCTGTTGGCCTGTGGCCCAGAGGCAGGTCAGGGAGAGACTCTGCTTGAATTCCCTTTCTACCCAGGATGCAGCTGGGGCTGGAGCCAGGTCTGGCTATCGTGGTCGCCGCTCCCCTCACACCCCCCATGAGCACTTTGAGGGGCTCACCATGCTCAAGGCTGCACAGGTGAGAGGGGGCATCCTGCCCTGGCTGGAGAAGAGGGCAAGCGGGGGGCTGGCTCCAGGGCCTGTGCTTCTGAGAGGAGCCCTCCTGCAACCAGGACTAGGCCAGGCTTGAGAAAGGGGGTGTTCGGGGACCTGGGGTGTTGTTGTCACAGTGATGCTGGGGAGAGCTGGCAGCTGAGCCCCAAGGCCTGGGTGGAGAGCAGAGGAGATAGAGCAGGGTGAAGGCTGGAGCCCTTGCTATTGCCTGCCTCCTTTCCTGCCCTGCCTTCTGCCTGCAGCTGGCCCAGGCTGGCACTGTGGGCAGTCCAGGAGCAAAGCTGCTTCTGGAAGTGAGTGAGCGGGTGCGGATCCTGACCCAGGCCTACTTCTCCCCGGAGCGGCCTCTGTATCTGTCCTTCACCCACCTGGTGTGCCGCAGTGCCGTAGAAGGTAGCCGCCAGGCCCCAGCATGCTTCCCCAAACTGCCGGCCACTGCACTGCCCAGCAGCCCAAACTTTCACTCCAGGGAGACCCTGACCCCCACCCGGGCGGGGCCTGGCTTCTGGCTGCAGGGCGCTTGTGGGTGGTGAGTGTTGGGTGGGAGGTGGGCAGGGCTGCAGGGGGCTCACTGGGCCCTTGGTGTGCGACCAGGCGAGCAGGAGCAGCGTATGGACCTGAGCCACCCCGTGCACGCAGACAACTGTGTCCTGGACCCTGACTCAGGAGAATGCTGGCGGGAGCCTCCTGCCTACACCTATCGAGACTACAGGTGGGCGCGGGCAGGTGGGCACACAAACGTCACCCCACACTGCCCAGGCCTGTGGGGGTCCCACTGCCGCTGTCCTCCTCCCCCCCAGTGGACTCCTCTACCTCAACGATGACTTCCAGGGTGGGGACCTGTTCTTCACGCAGCCGAATGCCCTCACTGTCACGGTAGGTGACGGAGGGGCTAGGATGACAGGGCCCAGCTGCAGGGTCAGAATTCAAAGCAGAAGGCTCCCAGAGGCAAATGCAGGGAAATGGCTGGGCCACTGGAACCCTTCCCTGCCCATCTCTCTGGACCCTGGTGCCTTGCTGGGTGCAGAGCTCTTGGCAGAATCGACTGTGTCCCCCCCAGTAGGTGGCTATGTGGTCCCCCAGACCCTTGCTTTGCCTCCTAAGGGAGTGTGTGGCCAAGGGCAGTGGTGCAGGCCTGTGGCCCCAGTGGCTCAGGAGGGTGAAGCAGGAGGGTCTCTTGAGCCCAGGAGTTGGAGGCCAGCCTGGGGAGCATAGCAAGCCCTGTCTCCAAAACCGAAAAACACACCTGGAAGGTGAGAGAAACAGTCTGGATCTGCCACAATCCCATGTCCCTGTGTGAAGGGTTGGAGGAAATTAAAAACCAGTCCTTCCTGGGCATGGAGTACAGGTTTTGGCTTTTTTTTGGGGGGGGGGGAATCGAACTCAGGTCCTTGCGCTTGCGAGGCAGGTGGTGGAACGACTGAGCTAAATTCCCAGCCCCAGTTTTGACTTTTACCCTTCCTGAGATTCGGTTCCCAAATGGGGGTGATGGCAACGATACCTGTCTGTGTTTATTTTCATGGCAAGCCTTGTGCATGCCAGGCAAGCGTTCCACCAGAGGCACGCGCTCAGGCCTATAGTAACTGTTTTAAAGGTTTTGCTTGGCTTTGGTTTTTTTTCCTTTTGAGACAGGGTCTCACTATTTAGTTCTGGCTGGCCTCGAACTTGTGGCTCTCAGGCCCCTAATGGCTCCCAGCTCCCAGCTTGGACTCCAACTCCCCCGACCTCAGGGAGCCCTTTCTGCTCCCCAAGTGGAGGCTGCTTTCCCATGGGCCCCGAGTCCAGTGGCCCCTGAATTAAGGCTTGGGCTTGAGGGAGAGCTGCCCAGGAGGGGTGAGGCCCAGCTCTGTCTTGGAGCTGAGCACGCCTGCGCCACCAGGCCCAGGTGCGTCCCCGCTGTGGACGCCTCGTGGCCTTCAGCTCCGGAGTGGAGAACCCGCACGGGGTGTGGGCCGTGACCCACGGGCGGCGCTGTGCCCTGGCGCTGTGGCACACGTGGGCACCCGACCACCAGGAGCAGGTGAGCGGGAGGGCGGCGGGAGGGACGTGGTTCACCTGGGGCTGCGAGGCATGGCCTGGGCCCCACTCCTCCCCCTGCTCCCCAGGAGTGGGCAGAGGCCAAAGAGCTGCTGCAGAAGTCGGAGCAGGAAGAGGTGGCGGCGGAGGAACCGCCCGGCAGAGACCCTGCCCCAGAGCCCCCCAGGCGCAAGGCCCAGCGGGTCCACGACAGAGCTGGAAAGGCGCTCCGGGTCCGGGAGGAGCTGTGAGTGGCTGAGCCAGGCCGTGGGCGCGTGGCCACCTGGCCGGAAGGGCCCCGAGAAGGCCTCGTGATGTCAGGAGCCAACTGGTGAGCTCACCGTCCCTGTGCTCTGCCATTCGGAGCCACAGGGCCCCAGCCTGGACTCAGGGTGCTCACCAAGCCTGGAGCAGGCCTGGCCCCCGACTGATGGACCCGTAGCTCTGGGACAGATGGAGGACACTGCCCTCCGGAAGCAAAGGCCAGGGCTGAGGCTGACCGCCCTCCACGAGGGTCAGGGTGCTGTGCTCTCCCTCCCCGATGTACAATAAAGGACTGAAGGCCCCACCTTGGCTGAGCCTGTCTCAGGTGTCACCGCGTCTGGGGCTGAGGGCAGGGGCTGTGGGTGGCCCAGGAAGAGACAGGTGTCTCTGGGCCTCCCAGAGGCGGGGCCTGCGATTTGTCAGGGAAATCTCTGCCACCTGCTCCCTCATGCAAATGCACCCGGCTCCCACCAGCTGCTCCTCAGGCCTCCACTCTAAGCCCATCTTCCCTCCCTGCTCGAGGCTGAGCAGGGGCATCCTGCCCTCTGCCTCCTGCTTCCCAGCCCATGGGGGCCCATGAGTCACTGGGGCAAGGACCAGGCCAGACCCCTGTCCCTGATCCCCCACCCCGATCAGCCCCAGGGGCAGCTGGTTGGGGTTTGTCCAGGAGGATTATCCAGATCAGTCCCCTCTAATCTCAGCTCCTGCTGCACCCTCCGGGTCGAAGCCCTCTTCCCCCCACCCTCCTCGGGACCACACAGTTGAGGGTCAGCAGCAGGGCCATCTACTGCCCTCACATCCTGGCTCCTGGCCTGGGCTGGCCACTAAGCATCTCCCGACTGCCAAGTTTGTGGCCACAGGTAGAGGCCAGGCCTGGGGGCCCTCACAGGGACTGCTCCTCTGCTCCCTCCCAAACCCTAGTCCCTAATCCTCACAGCTTTGCTCTGATCCGAGGGCCTGATGCTCTTATCTCTGCCTGCAGACTGAGCAGGGAGGGACCCTTCACACATACACACACCCCACACCGGCTGGCTGGTGTGTGGCCACCCGTCTCTGCTCCACACTCCTGCTCCTGCCCCTCCTCCGGCCGGACCCAAGTTTCTAGAGCCACAGCCTCCCCCTCCCTGGCCTCACCCCCACCCCTGCCCGCCGATTTCATTTGCCTGATGTCATTGTCCCCGGCCCTACCCCTGCCTGTCAGTGCCCCCCTCCTAACTGGGGCCAGGCCAGGCCAGGCCAGCTCCTCTGGCAGCAGAGCTGAGGCTGGTGACAGGCAGGGTTCACAGCTGAGGGAGCAGGGAGGCGCCTGGAGCCAGAGCTGCAGCTGGAAACCCGGGAGAGGTCCACCCAGAGCACAGGTAAGTGGGAGCTGCGCCTGGAGCTGGGGGCTGCAGGGTGGCATAGGCAGGGCTGGGGCTGGGGCACTGGATGCCAGCTGGAAGAGTGGCCACTTGGGGTGCAGGCAGGCACCCCACCACTTCTCTGTGTCTCAATGGGCTCCAGCCCTCAGGAGTCCAGAGTAGGGGACAGAAATGGCCTGGTGGGGACTCCCCAGTTCCTGGCTCGTGTTCCCGGCAGGAGCTGGAGCCACCCCTTGACCTGTCCACCATGGGGGAGATGGAGCAGCTGAGGCAGGAGGCGGAGCAGCTCAAGAAGCAGATTGCAGTAACCCCAGAACCCTCCGCCTGGGCCCCAGAGGCGGAACTGAGGACCCGAGGGAGTGTGCCCTGGAGGGAAGGGCTGGGTTTTCGACCTCCGTGCCTAGACCACTCTGCCCTGGATCTCACATTTGAGGCCCCCAAGCCCCATCCCGCCCCTCCGAGGCCCACACACCAAGGCCACCCTGCCGGAGGCCACCCCTGATGTCTGCTTTCCCTGCAGGAGGCCAGGAAAGCCTGTGCTGACATCACCCTGGCAGAGGTGAGACCTCCTGTCCCCCACCAAGGCAGGGCATGCAGGAGGGGACAGGACCTCCCTAACGGGGACAAACTGCGAGCACGATGTGTCCTTGGAATAAGGAAAGGCATTGATTAAAAAAAAAAAAAGGCATTGAATTCATTCAACAAATGCTTAGTGACACCTGGTTTGACTGGGCACTGTATTGGATGCTGAAGACTCAGACATTGTTTCTGTCCTGGGCCATAGAAAAAGAGCGCTGCTATCCCCTCCCTCCCAGAGCAGTGAGGACGAAGGGAGTGAGATTACTGTGCAATCATGAAGCCCTCATGGACTCTGACTAACAGGTGTCTAAGGCTGTATTTCATCCATTCTACCATGCACACTTCTTCATGTTTAGACATCTCTGAAATCAAGTTGCGCCCAACAATAGATAATGCCTTACAAGGATAACGGACAGCATTTTTTTCTTGGTGATACATAAAATACTGGGGCTTCCTAGTGCTGATGGCATCTCAAACTGGATTAAATGTGCTAATAATAAGAGTAAAGGCCAGGGATTTAGCTCAGTGGTTCTGCTATCTGCCTTGCAAGTGCAAGGTCCCGAGTTCAATCCCAGGTACCAAAAAAAAGAGCAAAGATGCGATTAAAGCCAGGGCTTTGGGTCAGTGGTGCTGCCGCCTGCCTCGCTAGTGCAAGGTCCCGAGTTCTATACCGGGCACCAGAAAAAAAAAAAAGAAAGATCAGATTACACAGGCAAATAAGAGAGTAGCTATCATGAGCCAGATGCTGAGCTAAATTGCTGAGGTACATCATTTCTTATATTGGATAATTCATGCAATTTTGTGTCAGTTTCGGGTCACCTCTGTAAGGCAGCTGCTGTGATAAGCCTCACTTATGCCTACAGGCTCAGAGAGGTTAAGTAACTTGCCCACGATAACAAAGCAAATACAGTAACCGTGATGGAATCTGTGACTCTGGCGCCCTGGCATTCGAGGGGCAGGGGTCGACACATGACCCAGGAGGTACAGTCCAGGCTCGTGGTGACACCTGGGTACCCAGGTAGAGCTGGCCGGGCTGTGGTGGTGTGCAACAGACAGTCGCTCTGTGGCTGGGAGTCAGCGCTGTTGCCTCCCCAAGCTGGTGTTCAGCGAGTGCCAAGGGGCAGCCTGAAATGGACTGAGGTGGGAGTCTACACCGTGGGCCCCAGGCTGGAGAAGCCTCGCTGGACCCTCCCGCCAGCTGGTGGCCACACAAGCGTTAGGGTCCCACAGGATGCTAGGTGGCTCCCCTGCAGGGGGACTTACTTCTCTAAGGCCGGGGACCTGCTTAGAGCCTGCTGCTGAGCAGGAACTTGTACAGATCTGTGGCCAAGGCAGATGCTTGACATCTAATCCCCCTCTCTCGGCAGCTGGTGTCTGGCCTGGAGGTGGCAGGACGAGTCCAGATGCGGACACGGCGGACGTTAAGAGGGCACCTGGCCAAGATCTATGCCATGCACTGGGCCACTGACTCCAAGTGAGGCTGGAGAGGGGCAGAGGGGCAGGGGAGGCCAAGGAGCCGTGGGTGACGCGGCCGCCTCTACACAGGCTGCTGGTAAGTGCCTCGCAAGACGGGAAGCTGATCGTGTGGGACACCTACACCACCAACAAGGTACCAGCCCCGCCGCGTGGCGCCGCCCTGGCCCTGGCCCTGGCCGGGACTCAGCCGGGGTCCTGTCCTGCCTGCGCCGCAGGTGCACGCCATCCCGCTGCGCTCCTCCTGGGTCATGACCTGTGCCTACGCACCGTCTGGGAACTTTGTGGCGTGCGGGGGCCTGGACAACATGTGTTCCATCTACAGCCTCAAATCCCGCGAGGGCAATGTCAAGGTCAGCCGGGAGCTCTCCGCCCACACAGGTGAGTGAGCCCCTCCCCTCCCATCCGAGGCCCTGGGCGTGGCCGGGCAGCCAGGCACTGTCCTCTACCACCTCAGGTTACCTCTCCTGCTGCCGCTTCCTAGACGACAGCAGCATCGTGACCAGCTCTGGGGACACCACGTGGTGAGGCCGCGGCCTGGGCCTGGGCGGGGCAGGGAGGGCCCTGTCCGGGCACTGAGCGTCTCCCCTCCTGGCAGCGCCCTGTGGGACATTGAGACCGCACAGCAGAAGGCCGTCTTCGCGGGGCACACGGGCGACTGCATGAGCCTGGCCGTGTCTCCTGACTCCAAGCTCTTCGTCTCGGGAGCCTGCGATGCCAGCGCCAAGCTCTGGGACGTGCGCGAGGGGACGTGCCGCCAGACCTTCACTGGCCACGAGTCGGACGTCAACGCCATCTGCGTGAGCGCCCTGGCGCCGGCCCTCTCGCCAAGTTTTCACTCTAAAGCCATCTCACCTTACAGGATAGTTTCAAAACTAAGCAAAAGAACTTCCCCAGGAGCCCTTCCCCCAGACTCACTGTGCATATTTTGGTGCGTTTATGGTTCTGTCTTTGAAACTCAGCCCCCGAGCGGCTGGGATGGCAGGTGTACACCGCCGAGGTTGTGTTTGGGCCCACGGTCTAATTCACTGCATTTCTTTGCCGCATTTTTCAACTTTTTCTTTTTTGCTTTACTGGGGATTGAGTCCAGGTCCTTCACACTAAACTGCATCACCAACCCTTTTTTATTTTTTATTTTTTGAGGCAGGGTCTCAGTAAGTCACTAACTTGTCCAGGTTGGGGTTGAACTTGCAGTCCTTCTGCCTCAGCTTCCCAGGGCACTGGTACTATAGGAGTGTGGCTCTGTGCCTGGTTCCTCAACATGTTTCTTAGTCTTTAAATGGAACCATTCCCAGGCATGGTGGCACAAGCCTATAATGCCAGCACTTGAAAGGCTGAGGCAGGAGGGTCTCTGTGGGTGTGAGGCCAGCCTGGGGTACACAGCAAGACTCTCTTTCAACAAAACAAACCCGAATAATGGGAACCATTTTCCTGCCGTGGCATGGGCATTTTTGAAGAGCATTAACTACTTTTCTGTACTGCCCTCAATAGAGTTGATCTCACCTTGTTCGTGAGATCAGGTTGTACAGGTGAACCTGGCCCTGTTTGTGGCCCTGCCCAAGCCCACCTGTGTGGTCCTGGGAGTCGGAGTGGATCCCCACCCCTCTGGCCTGTGGGGCTGGGAGGGGCCCAGTGCAGTATCTGCACCTGACAAGGACACTGCAGCAGGGAGCATGTGTGTGGGGGGGCAGTGGCACATGGTGGAGCCCCTGAGGAGCCTGCAGGAAGGGGAGCGGCGGAGCAGGTGGAGGCCAGAGGCCCCGCTGCTGGTCTGAGCCTGAGCCGTGCCACCCTGCAGTTCTTCCCCAGCGGAGAGGCCATCTGCACCGGCTCGGATGACGCCTCCTGCCGCCTGTTTGACCTGCGGGCAGACCAGGAGCTGACTGCCTATGCCCACGAGGGCATCATCTGTGGGATCACGTCCGTGGCCTTTTCGCTCAGTGGCCGCCTGCTCTTCGCAGGCTACGATGACTTCAACTGCAACATCTGGGACTCCATGAAGTGCGAGCGCATGGGTAGGCCCCAGGTCCCGCTCCTCTGCCAGCTCTTCCTGACACCGACCCCTGCTTCCCACCCAGAGCTGGGTGCCCCCAAACGGAAGCCCCTAAGCACCGCCCCTCATCCGGGCCTGCTGTAGAACTCTGGACCTTGGAGTCCGGTCTACCCTGGTGTCCCTTCCTGTGTCCCTTGAGGTGACCTGCTTCTCACAGCACACTGGCATTTCCACCTGCTCCCTGTCTGCCCCAGCTCATCCACAGCCCGTTGGACAGGGGAGCTGGCCTCAGAAACCCTGCCCTGAGATCTCACCCTCCCAGCCCCTCTGCAGTGCAGCTGCAGGCCCAAGCCCACCAGTCCAGGGTCCTGCCACACAGGCTCCCAAATCGGCTCATGGAGATGGGCTGACTCCTTCCTCTCTTCCTCAGGCATCCTTTCCGGTCATGACAACAGAGTCAGCTGCCTGGGGGTCACAGCTGATGGGATGGCCGTGGCCACTGGCTCCTGGGACAGCTTCCTCAAAATCTGGAACTGAGGAGACTGGCGGAGGGAGGCAGAAGGCAGGAAGATGCTCAGCAGCGCCTCCCACATCCAGTCTTTTCAAGTTCTCGCTTTTGTCCCAGGGGTCGGTCCCACTAGGGAGGCAGCAGCAGGGACACAGGGCAAAGAACTGCCCTATCTCCTCCACGGACTCCTCATGGCCTCTCCCTGCACGAGTGAGGGCGGCCGATCCCTCACCTACCCTTTGCCGCCCTCGGCCAAGCCAGGCCCTGGCCCTAGTCCCTGGAAAGTACAAGACATCAGCCCTGAGACTATGGCTCTAGGCTCCTCCCCTTCTCCTTCATGCCTCCTCCTTTCCAACCTTCTCTCCCAAAGCACCTGCAATAAAGGACAGCACCTTGGTTCCTCCGTGCTGATCGGCTTCCATGCCCTTCTGTTCCAAAGACCTAGGTCCCATCGAAGGGCCAGATGTTACAGGTGCTGTGATAAAGGCAGTGAGAAGGGTGAAGGTAGAAGGGCCAGGAGGAAGCCTGAGCTGGGTCGGGAATGTGAATTTAGGCAGCAGCTGGGGTGTGTGGACAGTTCACAGCCTTCCTGTGTAGGTGTGTGTGTGTGCCTGTGCAAGATTCCAGTTGTACAGGCCTTGAATGCCAGGCTAGAGTCCAGACTATTTTAAGGGCGGTAAGAGGCCCCTGACAACTTCTGAGCGGAGTATCATCAGTTATGCTTCTCAGGAAGACGGCACTGACTATGGGTTGGTGAAAGAGAAGGCCAGACTGGCACTCTGGAGATGGGGTAGGAAGCAGGCGGCAAGAAATATGAGAGGGACAGAGCTGGGTGTGGTGCCACAAGCCTGTAATCCAAGCACCTGGGAGGCTGAGGCAGGAGGATCACTATGAGTTCGAGGCCAGCCTGGGCTCCATAGTGAGTTCAAAGCCAGCCCGAACTGCATTGCAAGACCCTGTCTCAAAAACAAAACGGGCCAGGGATTTAGCTCAGTGGTGCCAATGCCTGCCTTGCAAGTGCAAGGTTAGGGTTTCCCTGGTACCAAAAAAACAAACAAAAAAAACAACAAAGCAAAGACAGAATCAACAGGATTTAGTGACCGACTGTTAGGATATAAGACAGCGAGAAGGAAGGATTTAGCTGACAGCCACGGTCTGGATTCAGGCAGCTGGGTAGATGATATTCACAAGGGTAGGAAACAGGAAGAATGTCTTTTAGGGGAAGATCATAAATTCAACTTTAGACAAACTGACTTTGAAGTGCTTATGGAGCAGCCTGATAAGAATCAGGATCAGGGCCAGGAATTTAGCTCAGTGGTTCCGGCACCTGCCTTGAAAGTGCAAGGACCCGAGTTCGATCCCCGGTACCAAAAAAAAAAAGAATCAGGATTAGAGAATGATCCGGAAATTACCAGAATTTTAGGAAAGTGACACTAAAGCCCTAGAAATACACACTTCGGGAGAATAAGAGAAAACAGTCCAGGGCAGAGCCTGGGGGAACACCACGACATAGGGGATGGAAGCAAAGGAGGCTCAGAGTCATCCATGCGGAGACCCTCGGGGAACATGGCCCTCCAGGCTGCCATTTTACACACACAAGACCCCATGCAAACCTCAAGTCTAACTTTCTAAAGCACTGTTTAAAATCACTTCCTTTAATATACAAGAAACACGTAAAACAGGAAGCCCCATAAAGCTCTAAGTCCTGGAGTTGGCAGTTTAAGAGAAACCAAAGAAACCTTTCTCCAGTCTCCCCGGTGGAAGAAGGTTCGAGATGACACAAGATCACCAAGCCCTGAGAACCCAGGGAGAGCTCACGGCGGGCCTAACTCTCTACCAAAGGAAAGTGCTGATTTTCCTTGTCATGGTCCTGGGCTGGCTCCCATGAGCAGCCTCCAGTTTTCAGAAGTCGTCCAGTTCTGAGAATGGCTCCTTCCTTCACTTCCCCGACATTTTCACTCAGGGGAGAAGGCCGCTTACCCTGCAAAAGGAGGCAGTATATGCACTGGGGTGCTGTTAGGCACAGGAAGATCTGGGTAAAGGGGCCTCCCACCCTTTCTGTTGGATATACTAGTAAAGGCTTTTCCCCTCTGTCCCTTTACCTGTCGTGCTGTCAGGGTCCCAGGGGAGTTGTCATCCTGCAGGATGGTGAGGGGAGATCTCCCTAGTACCTTGCTGTTTTGTTTCCGTCTATTGTGCTTAGAACCTAGGGTGAGTAAAGCAAAGACTCAAAACTGGGGGGCTTCAAAACCAGCAGCTTACAGTTTATTCTCCCCACACTCCTCCATGGACATTACATACTTTCTCTTCTCAGCACCTTGCTCTTGGATTTTGTACCTGGAGATCGGGGAGTTTCGGGGTCTCCTGAGGGCTTGTCCGAGGTCTGGCTGGCCACGGGGGTTGCTGTGAGCTGTGTAGCTTCCTCCTTGGACAACACCTGTTTAGAGGGGAGCTTGGTCTTGTCCTCCAGGAATAAGTGAGTATCCACAGTAAAGTCCAGTTCAGATGATGAAACTGCTCCCAGGGGCAGAAGAGGGTCTGGGGGGAGATTCGACTTTGAGGCTTCAGTCTCAAATACTTCACTCAGCTGTTTCACCAGTGGACTCTCAGGGTCTAGAAGAAAGAAGTGAAATGAGCAGCGACCTTCTCTACAAATCCTTTAGCAAGGAGGATCCAGGATCTTAGGATTTACGCCCTGGTTGGTGAGGGACTGGGAATAATGAAGTCAAGGTGAGAGGGAGCAAAATGTGAGAAGAGTGGAATGGGAGCTGGAGTGTAGCTCAGTGGCAAGGTACTTGCCTAGCCTTCAGAAGGCCCTGGGTTCCAGCCTCAGCACCACACAAAGTAAAAGGAGAGTCCTGAGAGGATGGCTTTATCCACTCCATCCAAGAAAAAGAGGTGACAGTCTCAGGATTCCCTGGGCCCAAGCCTCACCTGCACTGCTGGCCTTCATAGGTGTCCGTGTGATGCCAAGCGTCGGAGAGCGAGGATCTGAGTCCTGGGCCTTCTCAGGATCCTCCAGCTCTTCTCTGGCGGACAGGCTTGTTTGTGGAGAGCTCTCCACCTGTCAGGACATAGGCTAGAACCAAATCTGGGTCCTGACTCTCTCCCCATACTCCAGGTGGGAGTTGCTAATCCCCTCAGACATGCAGCCCACCGAAGGAAGACTGAGAATGCAGCAAATAAGGCTCCAGTAGGGGTGGGGTGGGGTGGCACCCTCAGTATCAGGTTCGGCACAAGCCCAAGAATTCGGGTTCTTTGCCTTCCTCGCCCCGGCCCCTAGTACCTGGATAGGAGTGCGCTGGATGCCGGCACTAGGCGAGCGAGGGTCCGCTACTCGAGCCAGATGCTTGTTACGTGGTGGAGGCCGCGCTGGGGTGGCTGGGACGCTCTTGGCTGAGCCCATCTCCACTGGGGGCCCGGGCAGGGCCCGCCCAAGTAGAGGAGAGGATGCCTGCGAGAAGTAACTCGGGTCTTAGCTATTACTGTGACCGCGTCCCAGGTGACCCCAGACCACCTAATTTTTCCAGTTCCAGCTGGAGAACCTCCTGGTCGCCGACCCAAAGGTCTCTGCGGGGCTAACGACGTACGACTAGTGAAGTTTTCCAAAAGGTTCATTCTGGGTCTGCTGGACCCTCTAATTTATTCATTAATTTATTCAAATTACTTACCGGGCCCCAACTCCACTTATGGATGCAAACCCGCTTGAGGATAAACTCCCAAAATTACAAGTTTCAAACTTCCCGCCACGCCCCCTACCCCGACCCTATTGGCTGAGCCAACGTAGGCTCCCATAGGTCCACTGTGTGAGACTCGCCTCCAGAGAGGGAAGCCATTGATCTCGGAGGATGTCTATCATGAGGCTTGTGGAGCCAATGGGGTGAGGCTGCCTTGCCTAGGGATGACGCCTACGTGATAAGACTTTTTGTTCAGTATCAGCTCTTGAGCTGAACGTCACGAGACTTTGGGAGTACCCATCTTCGTTTTTAAGACCGCTAGTCTTAAACACAAGCCATTTTATTAAACAAAACAGAATAATAACTTATTACGCTCTTATGCACAAATTCAGTTGGAACTGTGATGGTTTTCTACCTCATTGGTTGAAGAGGTTGTCAATCAGTCGTGTAATCCTCAAACTCCGTCTCATTGGACGGCCTCTTTTCAAATACCAAGAAAACTGCCTTCCTACTTTCCGACTGATGAGTCCCCAGGAAAGTTTCTGGAATAGAGGGGTTTAAACAACCGTTAATTTCTGCTCTTCACGCGAGAGGACTGGGAGTCCTCAACTCAGCAGGCGCAGCCCCAAAGTCCACTTGGCCGCTCTACCTGCGCTCCCTCTCCTGCCCTGGTAGAGGAAGATTGGTCCCTTCGGCCATCAATTGAATGAAGAGCGCTCCTGATTGGCGTTGGCCGAGAGTAGGGAAGGGGGTGGAGCATTAGCCGGCAGGCTGCGTCCAACTGCCATTCTCGCGTGTCTGGCCTTCCGCGCATGCGCCTGATGAGCAGCGCTCATTGGCCAGGAGAGCAGGGGTGGGGGACTGGGACCGGTGAGAGCCGCCGTGTGTGGAAGAGCTACTGCCGGTGTCATGGCGGAGCTGAGCGAGGAGGCGCTGCTGTCAGTGTTACCAACGATCCGGGTCCCCAAGGCTGGCGACCGGGTCCACAAAGACGAGTGTGCCTTTTCCTTCGACACACCGGTAAGCCCCCTTCCCCACGCCCGCAGCGAGAACTACTTCCTCCCATCGCCCTGGTCATTCTGCCGGGGCCTGCGAGGCTCGGGCCACCGCCTCCCCGCGGTGCACCCTGGGACCTGTAGTCTCCCGCGCTCTTCTGCCCCTGCTCTCTTCTTAGCTGGAGCCTCCGCGTGACTACGAGCCCCGGAAGTCACCGCGGCCACCCTGCGCACGCCCGTGCCGCGGAGCACTGTGGGCCTTGTAGTCACCAGTCGCCCTCACGGTCGTGTGCGGCCGGGCTGCAGCCCGACTTTGGACTACATTTCCCAGGCGGAACCCCGAGAGCCAGGAGCCAGCCTTGTTAATCGCGCGCGGCTCTCCGGGTTTTGTAGTCTCATATGGGAGGAATGGGGACGACTCCCCCTTGTTGTGGTCTGGGTTTGGGAGGGTGGGGACGGCAGTTCCTAGGCGGTTGGTAGTCTGGAAATGAGCTGGAGGAGGGCTGGTTATGAGAAACACCGCGTTAGGCAGCGTCCACCCCTGGCTAATACGGACAGGGGCAGGGAGATGGGTCATGGTGGTGGGGAGGGAGGAAAAGGAGAGGAAAGCTCTAGTCGTTTCTCCTGTAAGTGAACTATGGCTGCAGACTCCTCCCCACCTTGTCCATCACTGGGAGCAGAGAGAACCTGTTTTAAAGTATTCCCGGAGAGATGCTTTCTTTCTGGGAGGATGCTAAGGCCCCTTTCCCATCTCGCTCCCACTCTTGCCTAGTTAGATAAAGCCGCCACCCACACTCGTGCTTCACGTTTTGCAGGCTCCACCGGGTACCCCCCTTCCTGCTGTTCTGCCTTCCTGTGTCGCCCTCAAGCCTCCAGGCCTGAAAGGAGAGGGCCGCAGCTTGGTTGGGATCCGCCCCTCCCCACCCCTCCCCTCAAGCCGCTGCTGGCCTTGCCCAGGGTGTTCAGCTAGGCCAGCTCTTGGCCCCGAAGCTGCAAGTCAGAGTGGAAAGGCTTCATTAGTGCGTCAGCCATGCTCAGTATAGCAGCAGGATGGGAGGCCCAGCTCAGTGCCATCACTGTGATGTGTGGTTTGCCTGGTTTGCTGGGTTTTGACCCGGGCCAGACAATGTGCTACTTCTCTGAAGTCTGGCTTTGGCAGAGGTAAAAAGAGGACTGATGTGAGGAGCGCTCCAGGGTCCCCAATCCCTGGTGAAACCAGAATCTTATTTCTACCCCCTTCCTTCCCAGAGGGAAAGATTTTTCTTAATCACCAACAGATGGTAGAAACTCAGTGGGTTGGGGCCGGGGATTTAGCTCAGTGGCTCTGTTGCCCGCCTCACAAGCTCAAGGATCTGAGTTCGATCCCTGGTACAAAAATAAATAAATAAACTCAGTGGGTCCCTCTTTACGTTTGAATTTTGTCTCTCTCCTTAGTAACTGCTTTGAGTAATCAAAAAGGGCGTTTTGTAATTTTCTGACATTTCCCCTTTTTCATTCCGTCAAGAGATCTTCAGTGTGACCCAGTTGCTTTGCTAACCAACTTCCAGCATATTTGATTATATTCTCAAACCAGGTTCATGGGAGAAAGAGCTTAGCTGACCTCCCTGGTGAGAAATTCTCTATTTGTTCCTGAAGGTTGCAATCCACACTATTCTAGGGAGTGGTAAAGAGCAACTGATAGGACGAAGAACTTCCTTAGACTGTGCCCTGGTTTTTGTTTTGTTTGGTTTGGTTCTTTTGCAGTACCGAATTTAGGACCTTGTACTTGCAAGGCAGGCAGGCACGGTGCCACTGAGCTAAATCCCGGGCTGTACCCTGTTTTTAATATCAAAGCAGAAAAATTTCAAGGCCACTGAGGCTTTTATTCTGGGAAAAAGATGCCTGTTGCTCAGAGCCTTGAAGGCAAGGCTCATTGTTGCCAGTTCCTCTCCCACTTTCACCATCTCTCTATTTGCAAAGGGCCTGGTAAGACTTGCTGAGCTTTGGGGTAAGCCCATCTTCTCAGCCGTGGTTCTGGGTGGGCACTTATCCCACTCAGTTCTTTTGTATAACTGTCTCAGCAAATCCTGCCTGATTGTTCTAGGAGGGTGATGGCTTTGAGATTGGAGGTTATAGGACTTCAGGGAGGAATCTTACATATTGGTCAGAGGGGAGGGGAGAGGAAGGCATTGCTGGTGACTGTAGAATGCTGGACTTGACGACCTTCCAGTCTGGGGCTGGTTTAGCTGTGAGTTGTAAACAAGGGATTGTTCCCTGGAGCCAGGCTCAATGGGACAGGAGGGAGAGACTCTGTGGATCAGGGCTCAGCTACCAGGCATGCAGTAGAGGAAAGGTCTGGCCTGTCGGCAATCTCAGGGTTAGGGGCGTACTGTTCAGTGCTGGAATCTGTCCCTGAAGTCTGGAAAGGTTTCTGAGTTATGGAAATGAGGTAGTATTTGTTTTTGGAGTCCCAGGTCTGGCGTCAGTGTCTCCCAGGAAAGGACCCCTTTTTCTTCTGAGTCCAATCCCTGCCACTGGAAGCCTAGTGTTTGGTCCCCATTTACTTTCTGGATCTCTTGGCCTCAGAAAAGAGGTGAAGCAAGGTGTGGTGATGCGAACCTGTAATCTCAGCACTCAGGAGGCTGAGGTAGGAGGATTGATGAGAGTTCGAGGCCATTCTGGGGTCCATAGTAAGTTCAAGGCGAGCCTGAACTACATAGTGAAACTCTGTCTCAAAAAGAGGGAGCCACCTGCCTCGCAAGCGCAAGGTCCCTGAGTTCAATCCCCGGTACCAAAAAAAAAGAAAGAGTGAGAGCTAAATGGAACTTTCTGGTTGGTGGTGATTGCTGGGTTCCAAAGCCCAAAGAAGGAGCAGGAGAGAAGATGCATGGTGGCTGAGACGCGTTGCTCAGCCTCCTGACGTCCTTGCTGGTTTTTGGCAAAGTCATAGGAGGAAATGGGAGAGAATCTTAGGTTCCAGGCCCTAAAAAGGCTAATAAGACCCGGGTGTGGTGGCGCACACAGCTCTGATCCCAGCACTGGGGAAGCTGAGGCAGGAAGATCACTCACTTCGAGTTCAAGGCCAGCCTGAATTAGAGTGAGATCCTGTCTCAAAAAAACAAAAAGCTGCTAAATAAGTTGGAAGGGCCACTCAGTATTAGAGACCAGAACCTTTCGGAAGCCAGCAGTTTCTGACTCCAGGTCCTTGCTTTCCTGACCCAGCCAGGCTTCATCCTGTTTCTTTCCTTGCCTTGTGCCCTGCAGGAGTCTGAGGGTGGCCTCTACATCTGCATGAACACATTCCTGGGCTTCGGGAAGCAATATGTGGAGAGACACTTCAACAAGACAGGCCAGCGTGTCTACCTGCACCTCCGGCGGACCCGGCGCCCGGTAGGGACTTGGGGTGGGGGGCTGGGTGTAGTCAGACACACTCCATGGGGTACTCATTTGGCATCTGTCTGTTCTATCCAACCCCCTACTGCTTTCAATTTCTCCCTGCTTACTTTTGTGTTGTTAAAACTTCCCACGTGCTAGGCATGGTGACTACTCCTGAAATCCCAGCATTCTGGGAGACTGAGGCAGAGATCACAAGTTCAAGCCCAGCCTGGGCATCTTGGCAACTTAACAAGGCCCTGTCTCAAAATTAAAAAGGGCTGGGGAATGTACCTCAGTGCAAAGGCCCTGGGGTTCATTCACCAGTACTGCAAAAAAAGTGGCACAGATTTTTTTTAAGCATCATTTCGTTCTGAGATTAACCACTGCATTCCTCCATTTGTCCCTGTTTGTCCCTTTCCCGGAGTTCACTGCTAATCTGCCCTTCCTGTTCATTACAGAAGGAAGAGGACGCTACTGCCGGCACTGGAGACCCGCCCCGTAAGAAGCCGACCCGGCTGGCTATCGGTGAGCACTGCTGCAGCCCAGCCCTTCTCTCCCAGCTGGTCTTTCCTGCTCTCAGAGCCCGATTGGTGACCCAAGAGTTCTGAGGGAACAGAGTGAGGGGGTGTGCTGGAGGAGGGACCCGGACTATACTGGGTGTCCTACTCTCCTCTTCCCTGGCTCTCCAGGTGTCGAAGGCGGGTTTGACCTCTCGGAGGAAAAGTTTGAATATGACGAGGACGTGAAGATTGTCATTTTGCCAGACTACCTGGAGATTGCCCGGGATGGCCTGGGGGGACTGCCTGACATCGTCCAAGATCGGGTATGAACAGCTTCCACCCCATGAACATTGTAGGTCAGGAGGGCCAGAGTAGTGACGGCAGGGGCAGCACTGGCAAGGCCGAAGACCAAGGAGGACGGGGGCAGGTGGGATGGGGTTGGCTACTGTCCAACCCGCTGCTTCCCCCAGGTGACCAGTGCAGTGGAGGCCCTGCTCTCAGCCGACTCGGCCTCCCGCAAGCAGGAGGTGCAGGCCTGGGATGGGGAGGTCCGGCAGGTGTCCAAGCATGCCTTCAGCCTCAAGCAGTTGGACAACCCAGCCCGGATCCCTCCCTGGTGAGACCTGGCCCCTCCACCCTGGACACAGCTTCCAGAAAGGACAAAAGGGCCACCCTCAGGGTAGAGGGGGTCCAGTGAGAGAGAGGGTGGTAGAGGGACAGGGAGGGAGACTTGGGGAAGAGTTGGACGAAGTGAGAGACCTCCAGAGGAACAGGAAAAAGAAGAGTGTGCTCTCGGGCTGGCAGGGCCCGCGGAGCCCCTCTCGCCGCCACCCCCATGGACCCCCAACTCACGGATTTTCTTCTTTCTGGGTTAGTGGCTGGAAGTGCTCCAAGTGTGACATGAGGGAGAATCTATGGCTGAACCTGACAGATGGCTCCATCCTCTGTGGCCGGCGCTACTTTGATGGCAGT